ATATTACTCAACTAAAAAAATACACCGACCAAAAACAAGCGACCAGAAATTCCCCGTTCCTTTCGATAGACTTGCTTGGATTGATTGATCTCAGGGTTGCCAACCTTATGATAGGTTTTTTAGCATTCTAGATATTTGTTTATATTCTAAAAATATCGTTTCAGTGAGGACTAGTGGCCCTGGGCTGCAGTCCAAAAACCTTAGGCGTCCTACCATGTCAGACCTCACGGTTCCCTCTGGAAACCATCGTGATAATTTCATGGTAAATTTGCCACGATGTGCTAACTGACCTGACCTCATGCTCATCTTATCATCCTCCACTGGTGCTGCCAGCGTAAACCGTTAGCGCAAGTGGGTGCACCATTACATTATCATCCGAAAATTACACGGAATAAATTGCGAGTAACTAGTCTTATATATAAAATTCTGTTGTTCGGCTGTCTGTCATCACTCGCATTGTCAACAACACAACACACCACCACTAACCATCACTGCCGACCTCCGCTCGATATGCCACAACACACTGCTGGGGGTGAAAGTTGATTGTTAGTAATGTGGATTGATGACCCCATTGCTAGATGTACCATGTCAGGTTGACCTCCACGTGGTTCCTCCTGGAAACCATCCTTATAAATTCCTGGTGAATTTGTCACGATGTGCTAACTGATCTGACCTCATGCTCATCTTATCATTCTCCACTGGTGCTGCCAACCAACCGTTAGCGCAGGCGGGTGCACCATTACATTATCATCCGAAAAAAAAATTAGACGGACTAAATTGCAAGTAACTAGTCTTATATATAAAATTCTCGTGTCAAATGTTAGTTACCATACTCCTCCAGATGTTTATGAACTTTCATATGTGTTGCGAGTGAATAATACGATGTTGTTGGTAGAGACGATGTATATTACAGATGATAATAGTCTGACAATATGTACATAGAAATATTGTTCTTATATACTAATTGACAATAGGAAAATGTAAGGTGGGCGACACAGTTTGGATACAGCAGTGCTTAGTAGACAATATTGAATTTGTCTCACTAGACATTATTAAATGCAATTATTATTTTGATGTATCTAGGTAATGTTTATGAACTTTGTGTCCCATAGTGGTAGATAAAAAACAAATTGTTATGACTATTCAAAAGTGCTTAAATTAAGTTTATTTGAATAAATGATTTTCTATTCTATTCTATTCTATTCTATTCCATAATATGTATATTGAGTAGGTCTGAGAATCGGCTATCTATTTCTCATGCCCCTAAATGATAAGGGTTGTCCACCCCTAATATTTTTTTTGTGTTTATGGACAATTTTTTATTTTTTCATTATGTTCTATTAAGGATACACATGACACCAAAATTTTCACCCTTCTACCACCAAAACTTAATCTTTAATAGCGTTATTAGTATATAAATTTCTATATAAGTATAAAACGTTTTCTGGGACAGCTAGTAGTGTTTATAAATTGAAATGGGTCACAACAAAATGGCGGTCCAACGTCATTTGATATGTAGATAAACTGTAGGTAAGCATATACTAAGTATAATATTATATTTCAACAAGAACTAGTCAGTGTAACAATGAATTTATGTCATAATTTGTGAATAACTTATATAATGGCACGTGGATTAATAAAATTTCTAGTCTGTGTTAAAAAGGTAAGTTTTTTTTAATAGTATATCAATATTATAAATGCGAAAGTAAAGAGTTACTTTACTACTTGCCTGAGCCGAGGTTCGAACCCCTAGTGGTGCCCTCTGTATCCGTCAGGCGGGAGTTGTCCTTCAGCCGCTCCATAAGTCCTTCCTTTGGTTTGGAGTGCCATCTGCACTCGCCCCCTATCGTCCGGTGAAGCTGTAAAGTCCAGCTGCAGCCAGCATTAGAATAGTCCGAAAAAAAGAAACCACGAACTGTACATCACAGGTGCCACTTATGTATGTATGTGTGTGTATGTATGTAGTTTCTCTTGAGGTCAAATTCAATAGGTGAAAGTGCGCAGTAGTATATTGAACGTTAGGCCTACTACTGACGGTGTCATGGTAAGCTAGCTAAAACTTGTGTTATGGGCATTAGATAACCGATACATATACATAGATTTCTTTTCATAAATACATAACACATAGAAAACAATCAGATCGATACAAACAACGTTGGTCAACCTCGCACGGCACAAACATTTGTATTCATAAAATACAAATTTTTGTGCATTGCAATTATTAAATCTATTTTTAGGTAAGGTCCAAGATGCTGACATATACAGAAGCCTTGCCTTCCATAATAAATCTTAAATATATATAACTCAAAGGTGACTGACCATAGCAAGGCGGTGTGCAAAACCTAAGAAAGGAGAAATAGGGTAAAATGAAAGTTTGTATGAAACTTTGTCAATTTTAAACCGATCTGAGATTTTGCATGCATAAAGCTACTATGAATCCCCATAGAAAGGATTTCGATAGATTCCACCCCTAAGGGGATAAATTAAAGCGAGCGAAGCCGCAGGCAAAAGCTAGTAAAATATAAACGTGTTGGCAATTAGCTGTAAGTTTATATTGTCTTAATTAAATAAATAAATTAACAGCATTAGAGAAAAAAAACGTATTAAAAAACCGTTTGTGAGTAACGTGAATGGCCCGCCTTAGTTGCGTAGCGAGTAGAAAGGTAAATCGCGTTTGAAATACTAATGATTGAAAAACATTATTTAGTTAACTTTCACACTTCGCTACTCGACCATAAGAACCTAGTTTTTTTTACCTACACACCTTTGATAATATACTGTTAATTACACGGCACTCTGATCAACCAGCAACTACCAGAGGAGCCGTCTGGGAGACACCGACAATACCCGAACGGAGCCGACCGCCACTAGTGCATAGTACGGCGTCAAAATTACACCTTATTTTATAATCTTGTAAAGAATCAACTATTTATCATATCAACATTTGTATTATTGGAGCTGCTGAAGCTCCAATACACTTTCTTGAATAAAGAATCTAATGCCCAATTTACACTCAGCCGAGTGGGCAGGGAAGTGAGCAGCGCGAGAGTGTAAATACGATACTTCCCATTCCATTGGCGCTGCCACTCGCGCTGCCCGTCGCTCCCCCGATTGTCGGTTTTTCTAGCGCGAGTCAAAGGACTGGCAGCGCGAGTGGTAACGTGTGTTTACATTTAGCCCTCTCGCTCAGTTAATTCATTGAGCAGACATGCAGCTGTTGCCGTAACAACCTCGACGACGACCGCCATCTTTGCGAGTCGCCCAGTAATTGAAAAAATGAATGAATGAGGGCTGAAGGATATAACGACACTTTTTGCCCACACTTCCTTGAATGAAGAATCTAAGATAAAAATAAGAACCTAGTTTTTTTGTCCACACTTCCTTGAATGAAGGATCTAAGATAATAATAAGAACCTAGTTTTTTTGTCCACACTTCCTTGAATGAAGAATCTAAGATAAGAATAAGAACCTAGTTTTTTTGTCCACACTTCCTTGAATGAAGAATCTAAGATAAGAATAAGAACCTAGTTTTTTTCTCCACACGTCTTGAATAAGGAATCTAAGATAAGAATAAGAACCTAGTTTTTTTTGTCCACACTTCCTTGAATGAAGAATCTAAGATAAGAATAAGAACCTAGTTTTTTTGAATGAAGAATCTAAGATAAGAATAAGAACCTAGTTTTTTTACCTCCACACTTCCTTGAATGAAGAATCTAAGATAATAATAAGAACCTAGTTTTTTTGTCCACACTTCCTTGAATGAAGAATCTAAGATAATAATAAGAACCTAGTTTTTTTGTCCACACTTCCTTGAATGAAGAATCTAAGATAATAATAAGAACCTAGTTTTTTTTTCCACACGTTTTGAATAAGGAATCGAAGATATGAATAAGAACCTAGTTTTTTTGCCCACACTTCTTGAATAAGGAATCTAAAATAAGAATAAGAAACTAGTTATATGTCTACACTTCTTGAATAAGGAGTCTAAGATAAGAATAAGAACCTAGTTTATTTGCCCTCACTTCTTGAATAAGGAATCTAGGATAAGAATAAGAAACTAGTAATTCAAAAGGAAGGTTTATATGTACGTTACAGCACTTACAGCTGAGAACTTGAGCAAAGACCTACAAAATGGCTGCCGTGTGAATTTTCCCATAGTGTTACTGGTGTGTTGCATTAACAAACACCATTATGTAATAACCATAAAAATATGGCGATTGTGGTCGGTATATACATGTATGTATATGTAGGTCATTAACTATCTCACGATAAAATAATATATATAATAATAAACCATAATAATGTAGGTATAAATATCCTTGGACAATTAACACAGCGCCATCTAGTCCCAAGCTAAGTATAGCCTGTGTTATGATTACTAGAATACCAATGTAAATACAATGATAGCATACTGGTTTTCATATTTTTATTGTTATATATTTACTAGCTGTCCCGGCAAACGTTGTTTTGCCATATAAATTAATAACGCTATAAAAAAATAGGGGTTGATAATAGAAGCGTGAAAATTTAGGATTGTATGTTATTTTGTACGTTGTATCATAAAAAAGTAGAGACTAAAAATTTTGTCTATAAAATAACAATTTAGGGGTGGACTACCCCTAACATTTAGGAGGATGAAAAATAGATGTTGGCCGATTCTCAGACCTACTCAATACGCTCACAAAATTTCATGAGAATCGGTCAAGCCGTTTCGGAGGAGTATGGGAACGAAAACTGTGACACGACAATTGTATATATAAGATATATTAGCACTATCAGACCCGGCCATGCATTGCTGTGTCTAAGGTTCTGGAATAAAATAATATTGCGACTATAAATTGAGATGTAAGCTATCCTATCTTTCAAGTTGGATCAAATTGCACACAATGTGCAAATCAGATTTGCAATCGGTTCAATAGTTTAGGTGTCCATCGCGGACACACAACGTGACACGTAATTTTTATATATATTATTTGATGATTACTTTTGTTTGTCCACAGAACAAAATGCGCTGTCTTATGTTTATGGTATTGCTTGTGGTGCTCTGTGGCGCTTACGCAAAGAAAAAACAAGATGACAATAAGGTGAGTTTTTTTAATCGACCAATTAGCCCAAAAATGGGTATCATGCTACAAGCTTTGGAAATGACACTTCCATATAACCTTTCATCTCCTCTTTCAACCCTTTACAACCCCTTTTCGCAGGGGGAAAGGGGATTGATAGCAATGGGAACTAGTAACTCCTATTGCTAACAATGTATGGTCAGGTTGACCTCCACGTGGTTCCACCTGGTATCCATCGTGATAAATTCTTGTTGAATTTGTCGTCACGACCTCATGCTCATCCTATCATCCTGCACTGGTGCCCCGCCAGTGTAAACCGTTAGCGCAGGCGGGCGCACCATTCCATTATCATAAAAAAAACCCCTTTTCGCATGTTCATCTTATCATCCTCCACTGGTGCCCCACCAGCGTAAACCGTTAGCGCAGGCGGGTGCACCATTCCATTATCATAAAAAAAACCCCTTTTCGCATGTTCATCTTATCATCCTCCACTGGTGCATCGGCATCGTATACCGTTAGTACTATTCCATTATCATTCATTAATGACCTCGTGTTCATCTTATCATCCTCCACTGGTGCCCCACCAGTGTAAACCGTTAGCGCAGGCGGGTGCACCATTCCATTATCATAAAAAAAACCCCTTTTCGCATGTTCATCTTATCATCCTCCACTGGTGCTGCCAGCGTAAACCGTTAGCGCAGGCGGGTGCACCATTACATTATCATCCATAAAAAAAACCCCTTTTCGCAGGGGGTAGGGTATTGTTAGTAATGTGGACTGATGATGTCATTGCTAGCAATGTACCATGTCAGGTTGACTTACACGCGGTTCCCCTGGAAACCATCGTGACAAATTCCTAGTGAATTTGACACGATGAGCTAACTGATCTGACCTCATGCTCATCTTATCATCCTCCACTGGTGCTGCCAGCGTATACCGTTACCGCAGGCGGGTGCACCATCCCATTATCATCCACAAGGCAGCCCTGGATCTGGTGCAGCAACACGAGGGCTATCCCCCGGGCGGCAAGTTCTGGGAGCGGCAAACTCGAACTTGGCAGATGAATACAAATCTCTTCATTAAAGCATCTTTGACAACTTGACTACTGATAGTCAAATAAATTGTTTGTGTTAAATACATCTATACATATTAATAAAATTGGAGTGTCTGTTTGTAATATTGAAATAACCGTTTTTTACTACATGCATATGAATATAAATACAATACATACACAAAAATAACATTTTTTACAATTTTTGTCTGTCTTTGGGTCTGTTTATTCCGGCTAATCTCTGAAATAGCTGGACCGATTTTGACGGGACTTTTTTGGTAGGTAGTTGACGTAATAAGGAGTAACTTACGCTACTTTTATTTTAGAAAATTAAAGTTAAATTCACGCGGACGAAGTCGCGGGAACAGCTAGTTTGAAAAAAACATTAATATCCGTGTACAATTCACACAGCGCCATCTAGTCCCAAGCTAAGCAGAGCTTGTGTTATGGGTACTAGACAACTGATATAAATACTACGATATTTTTTTAAAAATACAATAAATCATACTCATGAATACAAATGTTTGCACCGAGCGAGGAATCGAACCCGCGATCATTGGAAGTAGAGTGGTGTGCTGACCGCAAGACCATCGAGGCCGGAAGGGAAAGGGCTTTAGTGGGGCGGCATTTTTAAGTTTTTGTCCCGCCTCGAAAAACATGAAGATACTGTGCCCGTACTATAAGGCCTCCAATAGAATATAAAAAAAATATCTCTAACAACTAAGTACCTATATGACTAACAGTAATACGTCATTCAGAACAATAAAATGGCGAATTTGTTCTGCCCATTTCCCGCCAACAAAGCGGTTTATGGTACGTGTTCGTTTTTTAAATATCTTTTTTTCTACAACTCTGCGTGTACAAGTGGCCATGGCAAACAACTATACGACTATGTTTGGAGCTCGCGTCACTTTAAACCACATAATGTTTGGGTGCACTTAATGGATTTTAAATGTTAGATATTTGCAAACAAGGTTTTATCCTTGTAAAGTTATTTAAAACAACTTTAGGTACATTCTAATTTGAAAATTTAATTTTATGCATAATATAATTTTAGCGTAATCTTTAACGTATGAAATGAAATTACTTCCGCTGTCTGTTCACTTATATCTTTTAAACTACGCAACGGATTTTAATGGAGTTTTTAGCAATGGATAGAGTGATTGAAGAGGAATGTTTATATGTATAATACATGTATACCCGTGCAAAGCTGTAGCGGATAGTTAGTTAAAAATAATCCGCACTTAAATGTTGTAAATGTCAAAATGAATATTATTAAGAGATAATAAAGTTTTAAAAACAATGAATATATACAAAAGGACGTAATCTGGTGGTATCCTCTGACCGATCCCCCGTCTAATTCAAACGGGGATCGAAATTACAACGGCCTGAGCCGAGTTTCGAACCCCTAGCGGTGCCCTCAGACTAAAGTCGTATCCGTCAGGCGGGAGTTGGCCTTCAGCCGCTCCAAAAGTCCTTCCTTTGGTTTGAAGTGTCATCTGCACTCGCCCCCTATCGTCCGGTGAAGCTGTAAAGGCCAGCTGCGGCCAACAGCATTAGAGTAGTCAGAAAAAAAACTTAGCTTTCCATGAATTCACATTGTGGAGTGCCCGGGCGCGCGTAGGCGCACGGTTGGTATGTTTGGGGTCGTCGGCTTAGCCGGCGAGGACGGCGTCGTGTGTGTGTGTAAAAGTGTGGTCGGGACGGAACGGATGGACCTGTGGAGAGGTTAACTACCGTTATGGGGTCGTCAGGATTTAAAGAACGTGCCCCGGGCGACGTTATCGCATATGTCGGTTATTTATTTATTTAACTTTAATGTACAAAAACAATGTAGCTGTACTGTAGCGGACTTAATACCTTGCAGCGTTATCTACCAGGCAACCATGAGTGGTGCAGAGAAAGATTGTTGAGATAATATGTCTCCTCGGTGCAGGAATACTAAGAAGTGCTCTTATTTATACTATTTTTTTTTAATTAAAAATTATTTATTTATATAAGACATTTTTACCGCTTATGAACGTCGACTTTTTTCCCTACCGTCCAGTTCGGTATATAGATCCAATTGATGAGAACTGGCAATAAACTCAATTTTTTTTTTGCATTCACAGGTAAAGATAGCAGTATATTACGAGTCTCTGTGCCCGGACAGCAAGCGCTTCATCACGAGCCAGTTGGCGCCAGTCTGGAGAGACTTCCGGGGCGCTGTCAAAGTGAAATTAGTCCCGTACGGCAAGAGCACTGTGAGTATCTTATTAAAAAAAAATATTTATTCCTGTAGGTCTATTACAGACTCTTATGATATGTCAAATCTACCGTCAGTTCGGAGTGATTTCGAGATGAGAAGAACTGACAAGAAACTCAGCTCGTATACTTTTCAAATAAATGTTGTACATGTTTACAATAATACAGATTCATTATAAATTAAAATTTGGGAGTATAAAGTGACTTATCTCTAATATATAAAATTCTCGTGTCACAGTTTTGTCCTGTGTCACACAGTTTAATCCTGGCGCCATGACCACGACTATGTGACCCTTTCCTGGCGCCGTTACCACGACTATGTGACCCCCTCCTGGCGCCATGACCACGACTATGTGACCTCCTCCTGGCGCCATGACCGCGACTATGTGACCCCCTCCTGGCGCCATGACCACGACTAAGTGACCCCCTCCTGGCGCCATGACTTGTCTATGTGACCCCCTCCTAGCTCCAAAGCTGGATCCGCCCTTGCGTATTATTAGGTTAAAATTTAAAAAATTCAAAAATCATTTATTCATGTAAGACATTTTAGCCGCTTATGAACGTCAAGTTTTCACATTATATTTTTTTTTCCCTACCGTCCAGTTCGGTATATAGATCCAATTGGGAAGAACTGGCAAGAAACTCAATTGAATAACGTTTTTTTTTAAAAACAGGCATTTAAAAAATTTTTTTTTATTTATCTGTGGTATAGGTATTTAGTAGCTCAGGATTATTATTATTGTGGTTTGTGTTACAGCATGACAAAATCAATGGTAAATGGCAATTCAACTGTCACCACGGCCCTGACGAATGCTATGGGAACAAGGTGAGTACATTAGATACAATAGATACCTACTAGATACAATACAAAGCCGGCCTCGGTGGTCAAATGGTTTAGCACACCGCTTTACTGATCGCGGGTTCGTTTCCTCGCACGGTGCAAACATTTATTAATACCATAATACAATAAAATTCTAAATAAAAAGACGCAATTGATTTAAAAAAATAAATAAATAAATAATCCTGAAACAAGTCACACAGCGCCATCTAGACCCAAGTTAAGCTAGCTAAAGCTTGTGTTATGGGAACTAGATAACTGATACAAATACATAAATATTTTTGTTATCGTAAATACATACATATTATACATAGAAATCACCCAGACCGATACAAACAATCATACTCATGAATACAAATTGTATCAATTCGGTAGAACCGATGACACTTTGGGAGACTCAGCTTATGTAATACGATCACACACGCCAGTCTTTGTGGAAAGATACAAGACCAAGCACTACTTACATGTAGCCGGATCGTCGTATATTCTCCTGGAAGAGCCGAGGATCGATTCTTCCTTGTTGCGTTTTTGTTCTGGACGATTATTTCAATTATAAATATTATAAATAATAATAAAGTAATAATAATTGTAATAATGGTAATAATCTATAAATTTAAATATGTAATATTAATCTTTAATGTAAATATTAATATATGTAATTATTAGGTTTATTAATGATGATGGTTCATGCCTACTGAAAAAAGCATATTACAGTTTACTGTCACTGGCTTTATTGTTAATATCTGTCTGTTCGAATAAATGATTTTATAACTTACTTAGCTCTTAGTTTCCACTCGTTGCTGCTCCACTTTAGGTTTCATAACTTGAAATGATGATGGTTCATAGAGTTCGTTGGCTTAAATTCAGATTTTAGAACACTTAGACAGAACACAAGAACACAAGACTTGTGATCACGAAATTTTCGTGATCAGCCGATTATATAGTACGACTATAGTACGACCAGTCAAGAAACTGGTCAGTGATCGGTCATTTCAATTCACTTAGACTGCGTGTGTGAAACGTATATATAAATTATGTTTATGCCGAATCGAACCCGCGATCGTCGGAAGAAAAGCTATGTCCTTTACCACTAGACCACCGAGGCCGTCGTACAAGGTGGGACTTATCCCAAAAGAGGGATTTCTTCTAGTCCACGTTTGAGTTACTGGGAGGAATTGGGGAGTGGTGGATATGTGACACAGTCACCTAGATACATCAAAATAATAATTGCATTTAATAATGTCTAGTAAGACAAATTCAATATTGTCTACTAGGCACTGCTGTATCTAAACTGTGTCACCCCACCTTACATTTTCCTATTGTCATTTAGTATATAAGATCATTATTTCTATGTATATATTGTCAGTTTATTATCATCTGTAATATACATCGTCTCGACCAACAACATAGTATAATTTACCCGCAACAGTGGAAATAGGTATAATAAATAATACGCGTTGCCATGAAATTATTAATTGTATTCATGAGTATGATTGGTTGTACGATCGTATTTACAACAAAATGCATCTATGTACTTATATCAGTTGTCTAGTACCCATAACACGAGCTCTGCTTACCGTGGGACTAGATGGCGCTGTGTTAATTGTCCAGGGTTATTTATTTATTTATATCAGTTGTCTAGTACCCATAACACGAGCTCTGCTTACCGTGGGACTAGATGGCGCTGTGTTAATTGTCCAGGGTTATTTATTTATTTATATCAGTTGTCTAGTACCCATAACACAAGCTCTGCTTACCGTGGGACTAGATGGCGCTGTGTTAATTGTCCAGGGTTATTTATTTATTTATATCAGTTGTATAGTACCCATAACACAAGCTCTGCTTACCGTGGGACTAGATGGCGCTGTGTTAATTGTCCTGAGATATTATTATTATTATTTATTTACATTGCAAAAATACGTTTGCGAGTCAGGTATATATAAATAAATTTGGAGAGTCTGTTCGTAATATTGAAATAACCATTTTTTAATACATGCATATGAATATAAATATACACCAATTTAACATTTTTCACAATTTTTGTCTGTCTGTCTGTTTGTTCCGGCTAATCTCTGAAATGGCTGGACCGATTTTGACCGGACTTTTATTTGCAAGTAGTTGATGTAATAAGGAGTAACTTAAGGCTACACTTATTTTAGAAAAATAAAGTTAAATTCCACGCAGACGAAGTCGCGGGAACAGCTAGTATATTACTATATCTGTATCAGCTATAGTATTATTACTATATGATGTCAGCGAGTTGTTATGTATCTTACTATATCTGTATAACTGTGAACAGATCCAGTCGTGTATCCTGAAGGACCGCAGCCTGGCTGACACCGACAAGATGGAGCTGGTCATCTGTCTCATGAGCCAGAGCAGCCCTGACAAGTCCCTCGACACTGTGAGTACACAGACCAGACTTGATACTAATCTTTTTTTATCTTTGTAAAAAAAAAAAGACAAACTAGTTGTTAAGTCTTTTTAAATAGATGTTTATGGTTCCCCGTGCAACCGTCTGCGCTAATGGTTTACGCTGGCAGCACCAGTGGAGGATGATAAGATGAACATGAGGTCAGGTCAGTTAGTCACATCCTGATAAATTCACTAGGAATTTATCAAGGCACGCAACTGAATTACTTTTTTTTAAAGCCAGTTTATTTACAATGTATATTTATATAGGTGTCTATGTCTAACATTAAATGAAAATCCCGTGCATGAACAACTATTGCCATGCACGCTCGTCATTCAAGTAATCGTTTAGTGAGTAAGGCTTTGCTCAGTAAATATGATTTAACAGATGTTTTGAATTTATTTAATGGTAATTCCAACATATTGTAAATTGTTATACCTATTCCCATAAAAGAGCTATTGTATTTTCTAAACGATTATTTGGGGACAGCAAGTTTGTCTTTAAATCTAATATTATGAAGAATGAATTAGTTGAAAGGATAATCATATATGGTCAAGACCAGTCGCGTAGCTACCTAGGGGCTAGGCGGGACAGTGCCCTGGGGCCCTTATGCTCAGGGGCCCACGAACCCTTACAAGAAAATCTCGACCACATTGAACTTTTGAAAATTTCTCCCATTTTCAAAATAAATATGACAGGTTGCATCCCGACTTCAATCATGGCAACTCAGTTGAGAGAAATTGGAAAGTTATACCTTCAGAATTCCCATAAATTCTTTCTGTGGGCTGGCAGTGTTGTCAATTTGATGGATAGCGATATGTGTGTTTTAATAAAACTGTAATGTAGGGCCCCATTTTTTTATTTGCCCCAGGGATCTTGGTTACCTAACTATACCACAGGTCAAGAGACAATATTTAGGAGATTTTTTAATTTTATTGGGATACTAAGCTTCTTTGAGGTGGATGTGTGGTGTGACAAGAATGGATAAGATAAAGAATGAATACATTAGAGGAAGTATAAAAGTGGCGCCGGTATCGGAGAGGTTGAAGAGTAATCGTCTATCATGGTATGGACATGTAATGCGTAGGAACGAGGATAATATTTTAAGAAAGATGTTACAAATGAATGTGGATTGTTATAAGGTTAGAGGAAGACCGAAAAAGAGATGGATGGACTGTGTGAAAGATGATATGATAAGAAAGGGAGTGAACAACGAGATGACTGCGAACAGGGATGAATGGAAGAGAAAAACATATTACAACGACCACAAATAAATGGGATAAGGAAGAAGCAGGTGATGATGACTAAGAAGCTTCGTCTTTTTATTTGATTTCAGTGCTTGACTCAAATTAATAAGCAGTCAGAAGGCGATAAACTGAAGGGCTGCGCCAACGGTGATCAGGGCGACGGCCTGCTGGCCACCTACGGGGACAAGACTGATTCTGTGCAGCGCCCTCTGTCGTTCGTGCCAACAGTAATTATTAATGAGGTTAGTATTTTTCATCATCATCATCATCACCACCACCATCATCATCATCATCATCATCATCATCATCATCGCAGCCCGGAAGTCGTCCACTGCTGGACATAGGCCAGTATAGTATTTTTCATAACAAACAAAAATAAACATTAAACCCGAACTGGGTTCTAAGGTCGGATTTCAACCAGGTAACTGATCGCGTTTAGTTCGAACTAAACACGGTTAAAACGTTTAAACATTAAAACTCCATTTTGTACTTCGCTACAATCTGAACTAGTTATCGCCAAACATGTTTACATACACATTTTTTTTTCGGATTACTCTAATGCTGTTGGCCGCAGCTGGCCTTTACAGCTTCACCGGACGATAGGGGGCGAGTGCAGATGGCACTTCAAACCAAAGGAAGGACTTATGGAGCGGCTGAAGGACAACTCCCGCCTGACGGATACGACTAGTCTGAGGGCACCACTAGGGGTTCGAACCTCGGCTCAGGCCGTCGTAATTTCGATCCCCGTTTGAATTGGACGGGGGATCGATCGGAAGGGGGAGATTGGTTGTACGATCGTATTTACAAAAAAATGTATCCATGTATTTATATCAGTTGTCTAGTACCCATAACACGAGCTCTGCTTAGCTTGAGACTAGATGTCATTCTTTAGTGATTTTTTATTTTTATTGTTTATAATGTGGCATTAAAAATACATATACAACCCTAAATTTACACCCCTCTATCACCAACCCCTTTTTTATAATAATATAATTTTTATAGCAAAACAACGTTTGCAGGGTCAGCTAGTATTTTTTTTAATTTCTTACTAGCTGTACCCGCGACTTCATTTAAAGTAGGCTAAGTTACTCCTTATTACATCAGCCACCTGCCAATAAAAGTTCCGTCAAAATCGGTCCAGCCATATCGGAGATTAGCAGGAACAAACAGACTCACAGACAAAAATTGTAAAAAATGTTATTTTGATGTATGTATCGTATTTATATTCATATGCATGTAGTAAAAAACGGTTATTTCAATATTACATACAGACACTCCAATTTTATTTTATATGTATAGATTAAATTTAGGGACTTAGGGAAATATGTGGTACAATAGAGCTGGTATTTAATATATAATGTAATAAAGAATTTCACTTCAATAACCGATTGTAAATTAAAATTTAAAAATTATTTTCAGTATGCTATGTACCAAATAAACAATTTTCTTCTTTCTTTCAATTCAAATTCAAATTCAAATTCAAAATATCTTTATTCATGTAGGTCTATTACAGACTCTTATGATATGTCAAATCTACCGTCAGTTCGGAATGATATCGAGATGAGAAGAACTGACAAGAAACTCAGCTCGTATTTTTTTCAAATATAATCAATAAGAAGTTATTTATCATATGTATTGTTACAGAAATTCGATCAGGCCATCCAGGACGAGGCGTTCAAGGATCTGAAGGCGGTGGTGTGCCGCGTGGCCACCAACAAACCTTCCGTCTGCTAACATCATACACTCTCATACATTAATATAAGTACTGTCCGTAAATGAATTGTGTCACATGAAATTCATTATGAGTATGATTGTATCGGTCTGGGTGTTTTCTATCATCATCATCGCAGCCCGGAAGACGACCACTGCTGGACATAGGCCTCCCCCAAAGATCTCCACGACGATCGGAGCGCTGCTCGCATCCAATGCCTTCCAGCGATTTTGACCAGATCGTCGGTCCACCTTGCTGGAGGCCTTCTCACGCATCTTCCAACGCAGCGGTAAACAGCTTTGGCGATATGACATCGCCTTGTCTGAAGCCTATCCAACTGCAGCGAGGCAGTTGGATAGGCTTCGAATTCAGGTCGTGGAGGCGAACTGACATAGTGGCGTTTTCATACAAACATTTCAACGCTTCGAGATATCGATATGTTTTCTATGTATTTACGAAAAAAATATCTATGTATTTGTATCAGTAGTACCCATAACACAAGCTTTAGCTAGCTTAACTTGGGTCTAGATGACGCTGTGTGAATTGTCCTGGGATGATTATTGCCTCCCCCCCTTGTCCTTGTCAAAGTTGGTCAGACTTATAATCCCCAGCCCCCTCGGGTGCGACGACACAATATGTAGTATCCCCCAGCCCCCTCGGGTGCGATGTCACAATATGTAGTATCCCCCAGCCCCCTCAGGTGCGATGTCACAATATGTAGTATCCCCAAGCCCCCTCGGGTGCGACGTCACAATATGTAGGATCCCCCTAGCCCCCTCAAGTGTGACATAATTTATAGATGGACCTTTTTGTATACTTTATTTAATTAACATTAAGAAATACAATATTTTTTACACAATTCATTTTTTATTTTAAGGAGTCCCTTGCGGAAGGGGCTCCTTAAACATACACCCGAGTCTCAAGTCCCGGGAACTGCTCTGAGTTTCCTTCTGCCACACGATGGACCCGGCACCCGTACGGAAAGTCTATGGAAAGCTAAGAAGTTCGGTTCTCTCGTAACGTAATAAGCAACAACCAAACATACAAGGTTCTTTCTGGTTCTTTACTGAATTTGCATTTTAAAAATAAAACTAGCACTATGGACATCACGTTATCATGTGACACGCGTGATACCACTCGTGCGTCGGTTCCAGAGTACTAATATGGCAACTGTTACGGGGAGGCAGCAGCAACGAAAGACTTATTTCTTCTTTCACTTATGTATCACATCGAGCATCTGAACCGAACTGGTCTGTGCACACTTTTTTTTTCGGACTACTCTAATGCTGTTGGCCGCAGCTGGCCTTTACAGCTTCACCGGTCGATAGGGGGCGAGTGCAGATGGCACTCCAAACCAAAGGACTTATGGAGCGGCTGAAGGCCATCTCCTGCCTGACTGCACTAGGGGTTCGAGCCTCGACTCAGGCCGTCGTAATTTCGATCCCCGATTGAATCGGATGAGGGATCGATCGGAGGAGTCTGTACACACGATATGATGGTTCTTTTTAAAGTCAGTAGGCAGGTGGGACTGTTATGGTCAAATTAGAACTTATATCTTGTACTCAATTATAATCATGATTATATCAAACTTCTGGACCATACATTTTGTCATAATTATAATTATATTTAATCTTTACTATTTATATATTTACTTTACAGTTTATAAGCATAAATAATATTAAATAAAAATATATTGTGGTGGTTCTCTCACTCAAACCAGATGGCGTTGTAGTCGCTGAAATCTGCTTTAGCTGTGCAAGATGGTGAACGGTTGCCGTTGGCGGCAACACACGCCTCTAGTCCTGTAATTTCACTCTCAAATCTGCAACTCACAACCGAAACAGCTTACAAAGCAAGCTGCTTGGCGGCTGAATAGGTGGGACTGACGTATCCAGACTTAACCGTTTGACACAATATGTGACGATGACAATCTCATCCTACATACAACGTGTCCAGTGGGGAAGAGGGGCCTGCTCCAAGAGTTGTAGAATTAATTACTGGATCTATTGAACCGATTTTGATAACTCTTTTACCAATACAGTGGACCCCCCATTATCCAACAAACGTTTTGCGAGGCAGTGTCGGACCATCGAATTTGTCGGATTATAGAGTGCTGCCTAAGGGTCCCCTATAGTCCGAAATTTTTTAGTAAAGAGTATCTTGTAATCCGACAAATTACAGATCCAGTGATAAGATTCTATGTTATATATGTATGTATGTAGGTATATGCACTCTCAACTATATTGTCAAAAAAATATTCAGTAATAAATAATAGACCATGTCGGATTACAAGGGGGGCCGGATAAGACAGGGGCCGGATTACCGCGGGTCCACTGTATATAGCCACGTTAATTTTAGTGCTATAAGCTATATAACATCACGCTAATACCGATAGGAGCGGAGCAGCAATGAAAAATGTAATAAAAGCAAGAGAAATGTGATGACGGCGGGGTAAGGTTAGTTGCGAATCTACCTTAAGGACTTTTTGGGCTGCAGCCCAGGGCCCCCAGTCCCCACTGATATCTAGAATGTAAGACCTATCATAAGGTTGGCAACCCTGAGATGAATCAATTCATATTATATTTCAATGCCAAGTTTTCAACATACAACGGTTGATTCTTGTCAGTGTCATTAGTGACATCGCAAAGGAACAATTATAAAGCATTCTATACTATACTATTTGCTATCTCACTTTGCAAAGTTTATTCCAATACATAACTACATTGTACATACTGTGGAAAAAAAATATTAATGTATTATTACTGAAATTAGACAGTACTGTCTAAGTTTATATAATAGTTTATTTCTAAGTTTGTTTAACTTTTTATGTTATGTATACAAAAATGTATTCGTCTGAAGGACTTGTATCTATGGTCATGAAATAAGCATTATTAAAAAAAAACAACCCATGCAAGTGCGGGGATCGAAAGGAACGGGGAATTTCTGGTCGCTTGTTTTTGGTCGGTGTATTTTTTTAGTTGAGTAATATAATTAGGTAGGGCCCTAAGTGGACTTTTTTTTTTTTTTTTTAACGTGTGGAAAAATCTTCAAAAGACCGTCACCCCGCCGGAGGGATGGCGAGGTGGTGTGTGGGACTTGTACCCACTAAAAAACCACACGGTATACCTCGAGGTGCCGTGGGCCGAAGTCCGGGGTTCGCACTTGGCACTCTACCCAGACTTCGGCGGCTTGGCCTGTCCTGTAGATGTTGTAGGACAGGCCCCCTCTCTCTGGTTAGGGTGCTATGACTTGCACCCTACCTTCTCGTGGAGGCGCGTGGGTACACGCGCATGCCTCCAGGGGCCTGGTTGTGGGGTGATGCCTCCCTCAAGGCATGCACCCCGGCCCCCGTGGGAGGGCCCTAAGTGGACTTAGCCCAGGGTCCCACAACTTCACGATCCGCCCCAGGGTAAGGTAGTAAAACTACAAATCGAGAATGTAAATTATATTTACAAGAAAACATGGTTTGCGGCAACTTCTTAAGATTAAATCCGATGTACCATATTCATCTCCTAATGTTTGACATCATCTGATGGCCTCGGTGGTTTAACGGTGTAGCAATCCGCCCTACTTCCGATGGTCGCAGGTTCGATTCCTCGCACGGCACAAACATTTATTTAGTATTCATGAGTATGATTGTTTTCTATGTATTTACGAAAAGAAATATATATCTATGTATTTGTATCAGTTGTCTAGTACCCATAACACAAGCTTTAGTTAGCTTAACTTGGGTCTAGATGGCGCTGTCTGAATTGTCCTGAGATTATTATTATTATTTAAAAAAAAATAATCAATGAAAAAAAATAAAAAAAGTTTAAAAATTTAAAACAATAAAAAAACATTAATATAGTCCCCAAATATGGCACTTCTTAAGTTAGATTAAGTTTAGTTCAATTGTAAATATTAACATACATTACATAAGGTCGGGTCAACATTCACGAGTATGACGGTATGATATATATTATATAGAGGGACTATGTAATCCCGTCATACTCGTGAACGGGTACTGCTTGTGGGGACTGGTCTGTTTGAGTTACGAACACTGATTAGACTATTTGCTTTTGATAAGAATACGGTTAAGTCCAATGATGGCTGGCTCATCCGTCATACTCGTGAACGGGTGCTGCTTGTGGGGCTGGTCTGTTTGACACACGAAAACTTCTTAGACTATTCGCTTTTGACTAAATTGCAATATCATATGCTGGTGGTCACTCTATTCTCCCAAATTTGAATTTATAATGAATCTGTATTATTGTAAACATGTACAACATTTATTTGAAAAGAATACGAGCTGAGTTTCTTGTCAGTTGTTCTCATCTCGAAATCACTCCGAACTGACGGTAGATTTGACATATCATAAGAGTCTGTAATGGAACTACATGAATAAAGATATTTTTGATTTGTTTCATTAGTCAGAATGAATATGGAACAGCGCAAGTCTATATATACATAAATCCTTATAACTATAGGTCGAATATTGTTACACCGTCTGTGTGTACAGACCCTATAATCAGTGACTAGAATACGCAGTAGACAGAAATATAGATCTGAAACCGGTTATTAACCGAACTGTTAAAATGCATTTTACGTTATTAACGGTTAATTAACCGCATTTTATGTTTGGTATAAATGAAGTGCATGGCAATAGCTGTTCATGCACGGGTTAAAAGTCAATGGGTCTTTTATGGGAATGGGTATAGAAATTTACAAAAAAATTACCAATGAATATACTGGAATTACCTAAATTTAAAACATCTGTTAAATCATATTTACTGAGCAAGGCGTATTACTCACTAAACGATTACTTGAATGACGAGTGTGCATGGCAATAGTTATTCATGTACTGAATTTTCATTTAATATTAGACATAGACACCTAAATAAGTGTATAATATAAATTCAGTTGAGTTAAAATGAATTTTATAAAAAAAATAGTTGAGATTGTTGCCAGTTCCTGTCAATTGTATCTGTATACTCTAACTAGACGGTAGGGAAAAAAAATTTTTTTTTAAACTACTCTAATGCTGTTGGCCGCCTCTACAGCTTCACCGGACGATAGGGGCGAGTGCAGATGGCACTCCAAACTCAATGAAGGACTTATGGAGCGGCTGAAGGACAACTCTCGCCTGACGGATACAACGCCAGTCTGAGGGCACTGCTAGGGGCTCGAATATAGGTTCAGACCGTCGTAATTTCGATCCCCGTTTGAATTGGACGGGGGATCGATCGGAGGAAAGGGTTACCTTACTGCGATTCTCTTAGTATTTATATTAGGGATCTGTATTTACGATATTCGACCTTTACCAGTGTGATGTTACTCTCTTACGGTACATAATCATCATCAACAGCTTCCTTGTGCTTCCTCATGATGTGCCGTTTCAAATCTGACTGCCGATTTGTCTCATAATCACATTTATCACAACAATGTCTCTTAACATTACTCATACACAACCTTACATGCTTCAACACTGCACTTTTAACGTCCGAATTGAACCCGCACTTATCACACTTGAAACCTTTCTTCGCTCTACTCAAATTAACACCGTCGTGAGCTTTGAGGTGGTATATTAGACTCATGTTGTGCCTCGCTTTGTAATCGCATATGTGGCATTTGAATTTCTTCTCATCTCGATGTTTTCTCTTGTGTCTTGCAAACTGGAGTTTACTCGCTGTAGTGTAACTGCATAGTGGACATATATGCAATACAGTGGAATGTCCTGCGACGTGCCTCTTGTGCTCTCCTCGACTTGTAGTTTTAAACTGGCAATGTATGCAGTAATAGTCGTAAACTCCCCACATTATAGCGCTCAGGTCGTTTGCAATTTTGTTAGTTTGGTTTGCACGTCTCTTTGCACTTTTCTTTATTTTCCGCCGTGGTTTTACGAGTTTGACGAGCGGGACGTCGTCCTCGTCGGTCTCGTCGGGGACCACGACGGTGTCTATGTGGGGTTCTTGGATTATCACTTCATCCTCGTCGCTGGAGGTGAGGAGACTGATGGGGTCCGTTTTTCTGTTAAATATAATAAGAAATATAACTTTATTTATAATAATAATATTATTTTAGGACAATTCACACGGTAAATCTGTGGATAAGAGCAGTGGCGGCGCTAGATCATCCGTGGACCGTTGTGGGGCAGTTATGTCAAAAAACAATCACAAGATTACTAATAAATATTATATCTTATATATAAAATTCTCGTGTCACAGTTTTCGTTCCCATACTCCTCCGAAACGGCTTGACCGATTCTCATGAAATTTTGTGAGCGTATTGAGTAGGTCTGAGAATCGGCCAACATCTATATTTCATCCGCCTAAATTTTAGGGGTAGTCCAACCCTAAATTTTTATTTTTATTTTTAGACAACATTTTAGTTTCTATTTTTTTATGATACAACATACAATCCTAACTTTTCACCCTTCTATCATAAACCCCTATTTGTTTTATAGCGTTATTAATTTATATGGCAAAACAAGGTTTGCCGGCACAGCTAGTAATATATATGAAATGCAAATAAATATAATATACCCGATATTATATAGTGTCATACATTAATGCTACATATAATGCAATACAGTTAGAACCCATTTTGGTGACTCAAGAGAGAATTAAATAATTTCTTTTTAAAAATGGCCTTACTTGATGCTTTCAAATCACTTTCATTACTCGCGCAACTATGTGAGAATAAATAAAAATGTACAACTAAATTTTAAGTAATTAATAACTTTGGAGGATGGAGAGAGTGGAATAAGTAACGTGAAGTTAAGTTATACCTTAAGTTTAAGTTACCAATTTTATATATAGACAATTTTTTAATTCTACATCTATAATAACATAGTAATGTTAGACAATTCACACAGCACCATCTAGTGCCAATCTATAATCAACAAAGATGCTTTCTAATCACTTTCATTACTCGCGCAACTATGTGAGAATAAATAAAAATGTACAACTAAATTTTAAGTAATTAATAACTTTGGAGGATGGAGAGAGTGGAATAAGTAATGTGATGTTAAGTACTACCTTAAGTTAAAGTTAGCAATGTTGTATATAGACAATTTTTTAATTCTACATCTATAATAACATAGTCATCATCTGCTTCTTCCTTATCCCATTTATTTGTGGTCGTCGTAATATGTTTTTCTCTTCCATTCATCCCTGTTCGCAGTCATCGCGTTATTTACTACCTTTCTTACCATATCATCTTTCACACCGTCCATCCATCTCTTTTTTGGCCTTCCTCTGCCCTTATAACAATCCACATTCATTTGTAACATCTTTCTTAAAATATTAACCTCGTTCCTACGCATTACATGTCCATACCATGATAGACGATTACTCTTCAACCTCTCCGACACCGGTGCCACTTTCATACTTCCTCTAATGTATTCATTCTTTATCTTATCCATTCTTGTCACATCACACATCCACCTCAACATTCTCATTTCAGTTGCATGCAGTCGTCTTTCATCCGTCGCCTTTACGGGCCAGCACTCTGATCCATACAAGACAACATATAATAACATAGTAATGTTAGACAATTAACACAGCACCATCTAGTGCCAATCTATAATCAACAAAGATGCTTTCAAATCACTTTCATTACTCGCACAACTATGTGAGAATAAATAAATATGTACAACTAAATTTTAAGTAATTAATAACTTTGGAGGATGGAGAGAGTGGAATAAGTAACGTGATGTTAAGTTATACCTTAAGTTAAAGTTACCAATTTTATATATAGACAATTTTTTAATTCTACATCTATAATAACATAGTAATGTATCAATTCTCACAAACAATTCACACCATCTAGTCCCAATCTATAATCAACAAAAACACATCCTCGGAACGGTGAGGTCGCTCCGTGAAGACTGTGAAGACACCAACTTCTGAGCTATAGGGAGGAGCTTGGCTGACTACTTTAGTAGTCTCGGCTGTACACGTACAACAGCCTAGATGAATTGGGAGGGAATTGTTAGTAATGTGGATTGATAAACCCATTGCTAGCAATGTAGCATGTCAGGTCGACCTCCACGCGGTTCCCCCTGGAGACCATCGTGATAAATTCCTGGTGAATTTGTCACGATGTGCTAACTGACCTGACCTCATGCTCATCTTATCATCCTCCACTGGTGCTGCCAGCGTAAACCGTTAGCGCAGGCGGGTGCACCATTCCATTATCATCCACAAAAAAAAACAGCCCAGATGTGAGGTTGATTGTGGAAAATAGAACGGAAACAAATCCTCTTTCTCTCACTTACTTCTCTGGTTCGACTTCTTTAATTTCTACGTCTGAGTCTTCAGACTCCCGGTCTGGTAACATCAGCATGGTAGGATCGACCTCCACCTGGACACTCTCCAGCACCATAAGGCAGTCGTTACCATCCGTCTCGCCTTCAGTTTGTTGATTTGCATCTACAAATTCAAAATTATATTTAAAATACATTTATTATTATTATTAACGGCCTTGGTGGGCTAGCGGATTAGATTACTGCTTTAAATCCGGTGGTCGCGGGTTCGATTCCTCATATGGTACATTTGTATTCATGAGGCTGTTGGTTAAATATAAATAAAGAAAAAGAGTTGAAAGTTTGTATAGAAGTATCATTTTTAAAGCTAGAAGCTTGAAACTTCTAGCTTTTTAAAAACTTGAAGCTTTTATAAGGCTGTTGATTGAGTTGTATGGAAATTCGTTCTTTTTTAAGCTAGAATGATAAAGTTTTTATTGGGATAGATTATTATTAAATATGTTTTTATTATTTGGTCAAGGTCACTATTTCACGCGGACGAAGTCGCGGTTACAGCTAATCTATACATCTATACATATAAACAAAATTAGAGTGTCTGATTGTAATATTGAAATAACCGTTTTTACTACCTGCATATGAGTATAAGTACGGTACATACACCAAAATAACATTTTATACAAGTTTTGTCTGTATGTCTGTCTGTTTGTTTCGGCTAATCTCTGAAATGGCTGGATCGATTTTGGCGAGACTTTTATTGGCAGGTAGCTGATGTAATAAGGAGTAACTTAGGCTACTTTTATTTTAGAAAAATAAAGTTAAGTTCCACGCGAACGAAGTCGCAGGTACAGCTAGTATAATATAAGAGTAAGTTAGAGAAAAAAACCACTCACTGTCTCCTGCTACGGCCACTTCAATGAACACCGGCGGCCTATCTTCCGTCTCGTTTATTTCTATCACGTTTGCATCCGTCTCGCTCCCTCTCTCCCTCTCAGCTATCATTTTATGCAGCGGCTTCGTTTGCTTTATATGGTAATTTGTTAATATTTCCTCTATGTCATCCTTGTTGATGTCTATGGGCGATTTATTTAGGAATCTGTAATGTAAACAATCATAGATTAAATTAAAAAGCTTTACATAAGTAAAAAGCTTTACGCAGGTAAAGTGTAGGGGAATAGTATATGGCCTGATCTGATGACCCGGACGGTCTCGGGTTCGATTCTCGCACGATACAACTGTATTTTTCAAATCTAATCAAAAATAATTTATTCATGTAGGATATTTCAGCCTCTGAAGAGCTAAGTTTCTTGTCAGTTCTTCTCATCCCGAGATCGTTCTAAACCGACGGTACATTTGACATATCATAAGAGTCTGTAATAGACCTACATGAATAAAGATATTCTGATTTCATTTTATTTACAAATGTCAAGTTTTTTATATTAATATTTTTCGCTGCCGTCCAGTTCTGTATACAGATTCAATTCAGAAGAACTGGCAAGAAACTCGACTGAATGTATATTTACATAGGTGTCTATGTCTAACATTAAATGAAAATCCCGTTCATGAACAACTATTGCCACGCACGCTCGGTATTCAAGTAATCGTTTAGTAAGTAATAGGCCTTGCTCAGTAAATATGATTTAACAGATGTTTTGAATTTATTTAAGGGTAATTCCAGTATATACTTTGGTATCTTATTGTAAATTTTTATACCTATTCCCATAAAAGCCCTATTAACTTTTATTCATGCATATGATCGTTTGTATGTATATATTTACGAAAAAAATATCTATGTATTTATATCAGTTTTCCTGCTAAGGTTTTTTCACGAGACTACAGCATGTGGTTTTTCAAGAAGGGTATATTAAGGTTTCTTAAGGGTCTGCAACGCGCACGTGATACCCCTGGTGTTTCAGGCGTCCATAGGCTATGGTAACCAGTTACCATCAGATTGGCCGGATGCTTAATTGCCACCATCGTAGCATAAAAAAAATCTGTTGTCTAGTACCCATAACACAAGCGTTACCTACCTGAACTTGAGTCAAGATGACGCTGTGTGAATTGTCCTGAGATTACTATCTAGATATAGACTTAAAACTTACCTATCTACAAAATTAATAACTCTATTATCTCTTAATTTCACGTTACTTGTTCCCCTCTCTGCTTTACTATTATCCACATCACTAGCAGTCTCTTGAGTGACTGATTTATTACCAACACGATCTACTTTATTGTCTTCACTGACTACCACAGTCAGTTTAGCATCTGTGACAGCACTTTTATTATCTGTGGCTGCTTTTCTAGTTGTTACTTCGTTACTATCTTCTTCAGTTACATCTTTATCTGCTGCTGTTTTTGAAGCATCTAATTCGTTAGCGTTATCCTGAGTAATTTTATTCTCTTGAGTTACTTTAGCAGTTTTCTCAGTATCTTCAACATTGTTTTGTGGATCTTCTGAATCTTCCTTAGTAACACAGTCTGCTTCGGTAGTACTCTGAGTATCGAGAGTTAATTTAGCATTATCTCTAACTGTAGCTGTATCTGCGACTTCTGTTTTTGAGGCGGAGGCATTTGGATTCTGTTCGGATATGTCAGTTATCTGCAAATGAGAGCACGATATATTTCTACTATATAATCTATACATATAAATAAAATCGGTACCTGTTTGTAATTTCAAATTAACAGCTTCTAACTAAATGCATAGGAAAGTGTATACAGTAAAAACATAAAAAAGTAGCCTAAGTTACTCCTTATTACATCAGCTACCTGCCAATAAAAGTCACGTCAAAATCGGTCCAGCCATTTCAGAGATTAGCCGGAACAAACCGACAGACAAAAATAGTGAAAAATGTTATTTTGGTGTATGTGCCGTATTTATACTCATATGCATGTAGTAAAAAACGGTTATTTCAATATTACAAACAGACACTCCAATTTTATTTATATGTATATATATATATATACCAGCATTGTACATACATAATATATATTTTTTTCTCAGCTTTTGCTAGTTTTCTCCACACTTACACTTATTATTATTATATTTCTTTTATTCCTTTTTTTTCTCTTCTTTTATAGATTTAAAAGAAGGTAATACTCACCTACACGGGCCGTAGCCAAGTGTGGGAGAGGTTGTGCTGGGTGAAGATATTGTTGAGGAGGTTAAGAATTTTCGGGTTATGCGACAGGTATTTAATATAGTTGCTTTCTGTAGGAGATATGTTTTGGATGGATGAATATTTAATGTTTGCAGACTATTTTGAAGTGTTTTGGGTACAATACCCGTAGAAGAAACTGCAATAGGTACAGTATGTACAATATCAGCTCGCCATTGTGTTCTTACCTCTATTGCAAGATCCTGATATTTTGAAATAATAATAATAATTATTATTATTTCTAAACTTAAAAAAAAATATCATCTCCCCTCTTAAGGAGAGGAGATGGCAACTGCAAAAGCATTATTATTATTATTATAAAACACTTACTCTATTGAAGACGCTCGGTACCACTTTAGCTTTGAGCCTGACCTTCCCGCGGACGGTCACATAGTCATCATCCAGGAAGTGGGCGATGCAGACCCGAGCGTGTTGGTCTACCTTCTCTACGGGCTGGATGGCGTCGAGCCAGCGACGCCGGAGCAATCGACTAGTTGGAAATCTGTAAAACATAATATAAGATTATATAGAAAGAAAGAAAGAAAGAAGAAAGAAAGAAACATGGCTTAATTTCCGATCATCGCAGGTTCGATACCTCGCACAGTACAAACATATGTATTCATGAGTATTATGGGACACAGTCACCTAGATACATCAAAATAATAATTGCATTTAATAATGTCTAGTAAGACAAATTCAATATTGTCTACTAAGCACTGCCGTGTCTAAACTGTGTCACCCCACCTTACATTTTCCTATTGTCATTTAGTATATAAGATCATTATTTCTATGTATATATTGTCAGTTTATCATCATCTGTAATATACATCGTCTCGACCAGCAACATCGTATCATTACCTGCAACAAGTACGATTACTGCTTACAGTGGGATTAGATGGCGAAATTCTATCTATTACGAAAAACAGAAACATGATCGAATTTTCGCAGACCAAAGATGAATCTGATGGCTAGGTTTTGAAGACGTTCGAGTTTGTTTAGAAGCTCTTCAGTCACATCAATGAAACAAACATCGGCATAGTCGAGAACGGGGAGGAGAATAGATTGAGCGAGCATAATTTTGGTATTGAATGGGAGAAAGTATTGGAGACGTTTGAGCGAATGAAATGAAAAGTGCATACGTCTACTATTTCATTAATGTTACCGTTCATTACGAGACCTAAATTTGTTAACTTATCGGTGTAAGTCACAGTAATACCGTTGTAGAATATTTGGTACTTCAGTCCAGTCTAATCTAGAGCCAACCTACTGCTACCTACAATCATGGCTTGTGATTTTGCAGGATTAGCCGCCCACAACTGAATGGCAGATAAATCTTTATTTAATGCTCCGATAGCTTGTGGTAATTCTGGCAGTGAAAAGTGCCGGTATAATTGCAGGTCATCAGCATACAGATGGTAGGGAGACGAAATGATGCGTGATATGTTGTTAATAAATATCGAGAAGAGTAAAGGAGAAAGCACACCGCCTTGCGGCACGCCATTGAGGGTGACCAAACTGACGAGGCGTCGTTTAATGCTTAGGAAGAAAACCACTCGATAACAGGAATAGACACATTGACTGACATAATGTCAAAATCAACAGAATTAAAGGCACTAGTAAAGTCCAGTAAAATAATAGCAGTAAGCTTAGTGTCATCCATAGCTTTGTCCTCAGTAATATTGAGCAGTGCCCCAGTAGCTGTGAGAAGGACGGAAACCAGATTGGAAGGGACATAATAGGTGGTTGGCAGAGAGATAATGATATAGTTGATTATGGACAACTGATTCAAGGACTTTGGAAAAGAAGGGAAGAATGGATATGGGACGGTATTGGGAGAAGCTAGTCGGATTGGAAGTTTTAGGAAGAGGAATAACAAAAGCCTTTTTCCATTGAGTGGGAAAAACATTGCACGTAAGGGAGTAATTTATAATGTGAGTGATAACGGGCAATATTTCCTCCAAAACAGGTAAAATCATATCGAGACTTAAACTATCACTACCGATGGCTTTGGTAGTTATGGAAAGGATAGTCTTTCTAACAGCATCTACGGACACTGAACTAAAGCTAAAAGGAGAGCAATCCGGTGGTATTATGTTAAAGAGATGTAATAGAGAACTGGCCTTGAGCGCTGCTTGATTAGAGAAATGAGTGTTTAAAGTGTCAAGGTCGTTATTTTCACAAATTACGGTGGCTAGTGATTGAAGAAATTTCCACACTTGAGATTTGAATGGTGAAATGAATGTAACGGCGTTTTGCATCCCTACACATTCTGTTACAAATGTTACGTAGTTTTTTATACATTTCAAAATTTATTTGTGACCTGTCAAGTTTATACCGGGACTTAGCCCTGTCACGCTTAGTCATAGTCCTCCTTATTACTGGAGACAACCAGGGAGCAGGCGCATGCTTAACCCGAACAGGACGAATGGGCGCATGAGTGTTGTACAAATTCAATAGTTCACTGTTTAAGGTTTCGACCATCACATCAATGTTATCAGCTGATAGTAAACTAGACCAGTTGATGCCTCTCAAATCTGGTAAACGGTCCAGATCCATATGCTTAAAGTCGCGAATAAGTGGACCCTACCCCCTACTCTATACGAAAGATAGATAAGATCATGTTTGAGAAAGGAGAGCACATTTGCCCATGAATAACCAAATTGGGATGAGATGTTATAATGAGATCTATAAGTGAAGGTCTACTATTTGGAAAATAATGGGTTGGCTTCTTTAATGAAAGTACTGAAGATCTCAGATGTTGATAATAGTTTGTCGGATCTGTAGTCAGCCTTAATTAGACATGTATTTAAGTCTCCCATAAGAATAGTATGATCGTAGACTGGCACTAATTTTTCTAAAACATTTTCCAGAGTATTAAAATAATCTATTTTATTATTTGGGCTGTACAGTACTCCAAGTAAAATCTTTTTATGGTGTAAAGAGATGAAAAGGTATTCAAGAGCACCAGTGGACTCAGGTTGAATATCGGCGCAAGCTGACTACGAAGATATATTCCTACACCACCACCACCAATTAAAATACGGTCATTGCGGAAGAGTTTGTATCCATTAATGGAACAACTGGTAGATGGTATTGAGGGATTTAACCAGTTTTCAGATAAAAGGATACAATCGACTATGCCGGCGCTGAAAGATGTTAGAAAGTCCGTGTGATGAGCTAAAATGCTCTGAGCGTTGACATGCACAAGGGAGAGGAATTTGGAATTCTTATCAAAAACATTTAATAATTTAGTATCTAGTGAATCAGAATCAGCTAAAGAGGAATTATGACTGGAAGCGGTTTCAAAGTCATCAGAGGAAGAACAGGAAAAATAATCATCATGTATATGCATATAAATTAAAATATAGCTAACTATGCTTATGGAATAAATAATAAAAATAAAAGCTTATAGAAAAAATTTACAATACAAAAATATTAAAACAAAAAAAATTCTTAACAACTAACTTGCATAGGTTGACAAGACGAACCAAATCCAGATTTACTTACAGTTAAATATTATATCTAAACTTACGCATGGAAACATAATTATATACGAAACGGTATAAAAAAAAAAAAAACTCAATCAAACGTCACATTAAAACTAACATAAAAATAGCAAATATAAAACGCAGGCCCAAGCAGAATGTATATAAATAAATATGACAAGTGACATTGACTATTGAAAGTGACACATTAAATGAATGACAAATCATAAATTAATAGGAAAGTCAGATGTTACTGTGTATTTATTTATTTAAAACTATCTAGTCGTACCCGCGACTTCGTCCGCGTGGAATTTAACATTATTTTTCTAAAATAAAAGTAGCCTAAGTTACTCCTTATTATATCAGCTACCTGCCAAAAAAGTCCCATCAAAATCGGTCCAGTCATTTCAGAGATTAGCCGGAACAAACAGACAGACAAAAATTTTAAAAAATATTATTTTGGTGTATGTATTTATATTCATATGCATGTAGTAAAAACGATTATTTCAATATTACAAACAGACGCTCCAATTATATTTATATGTATAGATAACATTTATTCAAAAGAGCAACACACACGTTTCTCGCTCGTTCTTCTTGTGATAAGTCTGCGTTCCGAATGAGTGGTAGAATAAAAAATATGACTGTTCAAAAGCTTGTATTAAGTTTATTTCTATATCAAAGAATAAGAGCTGCATTTCTTTCTTTCTCATCTCGAAGTCATTCCGAACTGACGGTAGATTTGACATATCATAAGAGTATGTAATAGACCTACATGAATAAAGATATATTGCTACTGAAGACAATGCCTGTACAGGCTAAGTCCTTTTGCGTTTCCCTGAAACGGGAAAAATCGAAAAAAAATAAAATGAAATATTCAAATTTAAAAATCATTTATTCCTGTAGGACATTTTAGCCGCTTATGAACGTCAAGTTTTTACATTATAATTTTTTTTTCCTACCGTCCAGTTCGGTATATAGATCCAATTGAGAAGAACTGACAAGAAACTCAATTGAATTACTTTTTTTTTTTAATCCAGTTTATTTACAATGCATAGGTATTTATATAGGTGTCTATGTCTAACATTAAATGAAAATCCCGAACATGAAAACTATTGCCATGCACGCTCGTCATTCAAGTAATCGTTTAGTGAGTAATAGGCCTTGCTCAGTAAATATGATTTAACAGATGTTTTGAATTTATTTCTTATTGTAAATTTTTATACCTATTCCCATAAAAGACCTATTGACTTTTTATAAACGATACTTGGGGACAGGAAATTTGTGTTTAAATCTAGTATTAATATTATAAATATTGCTGTTTTTTGGAAATAAGTCAAGATTTTTATGAACATATAGGATATTTGAATATATAATTCATTGATTGATGAAAATATTTGTGTGGCTGTTTGGAGAGAATAAAAAAACTCACTCAAAGTACATAACGCCATCTCGTGGTGTGGTATTACAGCCGGTCACGCAGCATCCCGCCATGGTGGTCGGCACCAGCTACCACCACCTGCAAAATGGTAGAAGACAAATATATTGGGTTATTCGGAAAGTAATTTCGTTTTTTCCTAACTTAGGATTTAATTGTATTTCTGCACTCAACTTCACACTTAAGCCATATAATTTTTATATGCTTTGAGAGTTCATGTAGCAAGGCTTGTGTGTGAAAAATTACAATTAATTGTAGGTAGTAGCTTTTGGTTGGTGCACTTTTGACAGCCTCGGTGGTCTAGTTGTTTAGCACACCGCTTTTCTATCCGATGGTCGCGGGTTTGATTCCTCGCACGGTACAAACATTTGTATTCATGAGTATGATTGTTTGTATCGGTCTGGGTGTTTTCTATGTATAATATGTATTTATTTACAATAAAAAAATTATCCAAGTATTTATATCAGTTTAGTACCCATAACACAAGCTCTGCTTACCGTGGGACTAGATGGCGCTGTGTTAATTGTCCAGAGTTATTTATTTATTTATATCAGTTGTCTAGTACCCATAACACAAGCTCTGCTTAGCTTGGGACTAGATGGCGCTGTGTTAATTGTCCTGAGATATTATTATTATTATTATTACTTTTAAATATGGAGAGGAATAAGCAGCATTTTCGACATATCTTACTGTTTTACTACAGAAAGGGCAAAAATGCTGTTCAAGCCAGAAAGAAATCAACCTATGTGTTTGGAGAAGGTGAGTTAACAGTACGTAAGTGCCAGAACTGGTTTGCTAAATTTCGATCCCGCATTTTTGATGTCGAAGATTCACCACCCTCGGGAAGGCCAGTTGAAGCTGATAAAGGCATTGGTTGGTGAGAACCCGCGAATAACAACAGGATGGAAAGGTAGTCTGTCCATACATTTTATTTAATAGAATAGAAAATCATTTATTCAAATAAACTTAATTTAAGCACTTTGAATAGTCAACATTTTTTTTAATCTACCGCTTATTCGGAAAGCTGTCTCATCACAAGAAGAATAAGCAAGAAACTTGTGTGTTGCTCTTTTAAACAATCCTTGTAAGTTAATTCCGGCTAGATGGCCCATATTATAGATTAACATTCATATGAAATAATAATACACCATTTGTAGTATGGGTTCCAGGGAGTCTTTATGAAAGTGCTTTCAATAAATAGACTAACTAGGCTGTCAATTTGGTCACTGACATTACTCTATACAAAGACCACATCGGTAGAAATATGGTTTCAGTAGAAAACAACACACAAATTTCTCACTCATTCTTCTTATGATGAGAATGAGCCGTAGATTAAAAAAAAATAGTATAACTATTCAAAAATTTTTAAATGTAAGTTTATTTCTTATATATAAGTCTATTTATATTATATTTATTTTTTTATAAACAATTGTCTATGATTCATGCAAGCCTCAATTCACTTACATCATGTAAACATTGTATTAAAAACTAAAGTGTGTATGTATGTTGTTGAACAAAAATAACAACAATATTTTTTTTCCCATATTCGTCCATCTCCTTTTCAATGATGGAACAGGCAAAGATCCTTAGACCGTACAGCCTAGTCTAAAGTAGACTACTATATAAACAAACATAAATAATTCGAAAAAGTAATTTAAAAAAATATTAAAAAGGCGGCAAAGGTACCCCTGTATGTACAAGTCCCAAACTTGTTACCGCGTCCTTATTCTGATGCGCACACATCGTAACAACACCGAGAGACCTTATCATCCTTATAGCATATCAACATATGGTTCAATTTACAGTAGCAAACATTAAAAAAGCGTCGCAACTAAGCGAAGCGATTTCCGTAATAACACCGTATCAATATTTTATTTTTCTCTACAAATATACACGAATTTGAATGAAAAAATATACTTGAATGATTTATTTACGTTCAAAAAACGATTCGAAAACATGTAACCCGCGAAAATTCTAATTTAAAGGTTAGAAAAAAGCAAAACAATAAATACACTTACTCAGGCCTTACGATGATTTTAATGATCTTATATCGTTTAAACACAACATAAAGGATTCCCATTATTTTTTACATGTTAATTACAACTGTCACTGATTTAATTTATATTAGTTTTATGCATAATTCGAATGGAAAATATTTATATACGATATACTTTTTTTTCAATCGCCACAACTTTGACATTTGGTAGTGTTGTACACAAGACGTCATTTTGTTGAACTGTTTTAAGTTCATCGTAATCAATCGACTAAATTCCTATTCAGTCGATGACTTAATTAATTCAATTGTTTAGAATAAATTGAACTTTTTATAATAATAAAAAGTAAACATATTGTTGTAACATTGTGGTTTGTATGGACATGTTGCAACATAAAATATAAAAATCTACGCGTTTTTATTATTTACATACCTATACGGATCATTAGTGATCCGTATAGGTATGTAAATTTCATATCTATTTCTATAGCAGGCGCTCATACTGAGCTCTGAATCAACTAAGTGAGATGCTATTTAAGGAAGTTTGCTTGCTTTTCCAAGCCTTCAGCAATTATTGACAATAAAAAGCAATAGATATTATTTTCCATTAAATTTATTGAAAAGATAAACTTATTAACAGAATACAATCAAATGTAACAATTATAAAAACTATTGTAAAAAAATCATATATGTATTAATATTGATTATACAATTAAATAACGGGAATTCATATAATAAGAAGCAATATTGAATTTTCAGATATGCTAACTATACTCAAAAATAAGATTATATTCTACAGTGTACTGCAATACTAATAAATTGCAATTGGCATTAAATCGTTGAGTGATCCTCAAGAAGGATTTTTCTTCCCTAATTCTAATTCCAGCAACCACTAGCACCATAACAAAACACCGAACAATACCACGGGGTCATGCTATATTCTGTGATTATGAATTTCTGTAATTGGAATATAAACAAGCTGATCTACCACCTGATTGAAAGTGGTAACCGTCGCCTGTAACAGGAACAGCATCACGAATATAACGAGATCATGCGACACACAGGATATTACAGATGCGTTGCCATTCTGTATGAGAGATGTCACGCCTCTTATCCTGTAATTTCATATCCAATTAGAAATCAAGTACTGTATGTACTTTTTATTAGTATAATTGATTTTTTTTGCAGTCGACTAATTACAGTTTCTTGTAGGACATCATGCCTGTTCGATAGAAATCTTCCAGCTTAGAAAATAAGCTGTTTGACGACTGAGATGAGACGAAGAGGAATGGAAGAGAAAAATATATTACGGCGACCCCAAATAAATGAGATGAGAAAGAAGCAGATGACGATGAGGTGATAGTGAGATGAGGTCTTCTACTACCCATCCCGTTCTGTTATCATATAACAAAGATGCTATATATCATCACTACATAGTATAAAACAAAGTCGCTGTCGCTGTCTGTACCTCTGTATGCTTCATTCTCTAAACTACGCAACGGATTTAGAAGCGGTTATTTTTAATAGATAGAGTGATTCTAGAGGAAGGTTTATATATACAATATATGTACACCCGTGCGAAGCCGGGGCAAGTAGCTAGTTGTATCTAAATTATTGTTTGAGATTGTATTGAGATTTTTTTTAGGCTAGCGTATTCATTATTTTTATGAGTTTTCGATGTGTTATGCCTCTTGAGTCCCATATTGGTTTTAAAGGAACAATTGCACAATTTACACACGAAATCCCTCTCTTTTATGTGCGAGTAAACCGTATGCATACGCAGGCCAGTGCGCGACGAGAATGCCTTTTTACAAGTAGGACATTTGAACACTTTCGTTTTTGTATGAGCTCTTATATGAGGGAGCAGAGTTGCTTTACTCAGAAACTTTTTAGAACAATAATCACATTCGAACTTCTTTATATTTGTGTGTGAAGCTATATGTGCGGTCAAATCTGCTTGTTGCCTCTTCCTTACATGACAGATGGGACATTCGTGCGGCTTCTCGCCTGTGTGCAAACGAGTGTGTACCGTTTTAGCCGATTTACTGGCGAAACCCATGCCGCAGTACAAACATTGGTATGGCCTCACTCCTGTATGCTTCCTCATGTGATAGTCGTGATAAGTGCGATTGGGGCACTTCTTCCCACACTCGACGCATTCAATCCCATTGTGGCTATTGATGTGCACTTTCAAATACTTTTCGCCCTGTATCATCTTGTTGCAAATGGGACATTGCATTCTTTTATCATAGTGCGTCATGATATGCGTCACAATGTAACCGGGTTTGTAATATTTATCACATTCCATACATTTGTAGCTAGATTTGTTCGTATGCGATATCTGGTGGGCGACGTAATCGTAGTGGTTTGTGAAGGCGAATTGGCAGACGTTACAGAAGAAGACGGTACCATCGTTTTTATGCACCTCTTTGTGAGTCACTAGCTGCACGTTAGTTTTAAAAGTCTCCTGACATAGTGCGCACGTGTAAACAGATGGTCTTTGATGCATACGCCTATGATTCAGCAGGCCAGTTTTGCTTTGAAAGGACTGGGTACATTTGTCACAATCGTACAACGCTTCAGATGACTTGATGTATGTAGAGTTCACTATTTCGGCATATATGCCCGGTTCTGGACGTCTGGAACACAATACAACTTCTCAATTATACAAGTACAATTCAGTTAAGTGATATATAAAAACTTTTTCGTTTAGTTAAATAACCAAGCAGAGTGTAAATTTATATATATAACTCTCCGATAAAAGAAACACCTAGATGCCATCAAATAAAAAAATAATACCAGAAGGTAGGCTGCCTACTATTTTGGAAAATGTGGGCATATCAAACGTTCATCACAACATCGACAGCTGAAAATGCTGATTACCACATCTGGGATAATAATTGTGACGGTAGGTTGTTTAACAATGTTAAACTTTTTTAATAATGGTTGGGCCCTATTCGATGTAACCACGGGCGTCAGGTGGCACTTATAGTCAGTTATTGCATTGCCTTTCAGTCATTAATATCTTTGAAATGAAAAAATGCAAACAATGTTTCAATTTAACGTACTTTCTGTTTTCCCTAAAAGAATATTTGTTCTTTTGTCCCCATGTGTCATAATCAGAATCCTCGACTTCATTTTTTACTTCACTTTTTACTTCGGTCTTCACATCGCATTTTGATTCTTCCATTTTAACTGGAAATAAACGAAAATATTATAATAAAATTACTTTTAGTATACAATCTACTAAAAAAAAATTATTATCGAGAAATTTTATTTTATCATGTAAGCTACAATTAATAAGAATAAATATTTATATTTAGATAATTGTGTATAGTAATTTATTAACTTAGATTACTTACTTATTACTACATTACGTCTTTTGCAACATTTTTCATATTACTGTATATAGTTACAAAATAGTAGGTATATAATAATAGATATAAGTTTTAAGAGTTCCTTATTCTTACTGATGTGTGTACTTATTTAAAAATACTTATAAATTTAGGCAAGCGGTCTGTTTATAAACACTAAATACAACATTAATAACAAGAAAAAAAAATCATAATTAGTTGTTATTATTATTGACTTCTTAAATATCTGTGGTCCCGATTGTGACTGTAATGTCCGCATCCCTAATTCTCCTCTATTTAGTTTATGGTTATGTCATATCTAGGAATTTTAACCTCAGAAATTGTAGAAAACTTATTGGAAATGTTATGTTTTACATTTAGAATATTCAAAATTACTTACGTCTTCCAATTTTTTTTGAAAAATCTTTCACTTAATTTTATACGTAATGATTAAAATGTACTAAAATATAAATCATACCGTAAAGAAATGTTTGACGTGAAAACAAAACTTTTTACAAACAACTTGTGTTTATAGTTCAAAAATACAGATTATAAAATAGAGCTCGACTTAACACTCCACAACATTTAATAAAAGAAAAGTAAACATGTATTACTATTATTGGATCGAATTTATTACATACAATAGTAACCAATGTAAATTAATAGGTATTTTGATCGATTGTAAATTAATTAACTTAAATAACTATAAAGGATCCATAGTCGACCTACAGCTAGGGGTGGAACACAGATGTGTAAAGTTATAGTTGGACGAATCGTTCAGTCACTCGATTGTCGATTATGAATTCTCAAAGAAATTACTAAGAATGTTTTTGTAATACTTTCTTGACGACCTCGGTGGTCTAGCAGTCTAACATACCGCTTTAAGTCCGATGGTCGCGGGTTCGATTTTTCGCACGGCCCAAACATTTGTATTTATGAGTATGATTGTTTGAGTCTGGGTGTTTTCTAGGTATAATATGTATGTATTTACGAAAAAAAATATCTATGTATTTGTATCAATTATCTAGTACCCTTAACACAAGCTTTAGCTAACTTTACTTAGGTCTAGATGGCGCTGTGTGAATTGTCCTGAGATTATTATTATTATAATACTAGTATTTCTTTACCGATTTAGACTTCTTTTTCTATTTCTGCAGCCAAGCAGCTAGCTTAAAGCTGTGTAACCCCTACACAGCTTTAAGCTAGCTGCTTGGCTGCAGGATGAGATTGAGCAGTGAAATTACAGCAACAGACAAGACATCTTAATTCTCCGAAATGACAAGGCAGTCAGTGGGTATTAGGGCGGAAAGGGAATGGTTAGTAATGTGGACTGATGATTCGTTTGCTAGCAATGTACAATGACCGGTTGACCTCTCCACGGTTCTCCCTGGAAACCATCGTGATTAATTCTTGGTAAACTTGTCATGTGGCTAACTGAGCTGATATAAAAAAATCTCACAAAGTTATGAGCACCCTGGCGCTGACTGATTAGTTTTAATTAAAAAATAAAACAGTAAATAATTATTATTATTTATTACTTAATATAACTATACAATCAGGACATTTATACAAATTATATTCAGTCATTATACTTGTATAACAATTAGTATAACAGAAAATATTACAATCGGGCAAGGGGGTCATGTCCCCTTGTGCGGGATTACATCTCCTTGTGAGCGATTAGTGAGAATTTAGAAGACTCAATCCTGGTACCCAGAGTCCTATTTTGATTTTGATTTCAAACCTCAGCTCAGGTTATAATAATTTCAATAACCCCTTGCGAGTGATCCGGGCACAGCTTGTGCAGGACTCGTTGAAATGGGTGATATTTAACTATGTTGATTGCGATCAAACCAATTGCCTTTATTAGAGACTGATCCCTAATAAGGGGATTATATCCCCTTCGGACATCGCCATGACATCCCCTTGTGAGCGATGAGTGAGGAGTATTGTTGAGACTAGTAGACTCAATCCTAGTACCCAGAGTGCTATTTTGATTTTGATCTTGAACCACCAATTCAGGCTATCGTAATTTCGATCCCCGCTTGAGTTAAACGAGGATCGAAGGAGTATATATCGCCATATCACAAGTGGATTATGTCCCCTTGTGAGCGATGAGTGAGAAGTGTTGTTGAGGCTTTAGAAGTCTCGATTCTGGTTACCCGAGTCCTGCACAACTTGTGTGGGCTTGGCCTGAGTGCCGGCGAAATGTTGATAGATGATATTTAACTATATTGATTGCGACCAAACCGATTGCTTTTAATAGAGATACTCATATCTCACAAGGGGATTATATCCCCTTGGGACGATTTACATCCTCTTGAGAGTGATGAGCGATGAGTGTTGTTAAGGGGTATAATCCCCTTGCGATAGATACTACTTCCATCCACCGAGCAATGAGTGAGAAATGTTGTTTATATTTTAGAAGACTCGATCCTGGTACCCCGAGTCTTGCACAGCTTGTGTTGGTTTGGCCTGAGCGCCAGCGACGTGGTGATGATGCCGCAGATGTCCGGGCCTCCTCGGCGGCGCTAAGTACTCGAACATGCTCTGCGTGTGTTGGGCGAGCATGTTAGCGAGCTCGCACGGCATCGGGTCCGTCCAGAAGAAGTCGTGATTCAGCGCTGTGTCTGCATCGAATCTGAAAATTAGATTTATTTTATTTGTTAGTAAAACACTTTTCTGTTGAGAAGCTCTTTAAATATTATTACTATTTGTATATTAAAAGTTTATTTGTTTTTGCAATAGCATATGCTGGTGGTCACTCTATTCTCTCAAATTTGAATTTAAATGAATCTGTATTATTGTAAACACGTATAACATTTATTTGAAAAGAATACGAGCTGAGATTCTTGTCAGTCATCTCGAAATGATTCCGAATTGACGGTAGATTTGACATATCATAAGAGTCTGTAATAGACCTACATGAATAAAGACATTTTGATTTTATTTTTTAACCTGTATTCAAAAGTACAAACCAAAATTCTAAATGTCACATAATTTTATTAGATACATAGACATGTATAGTGTACAAAGCTTATTAGAAACGCGAGTACTCAACGAGGTGTCGTAATACGTTTTACACTGAACTTAAAATATGTGATCCACTCACAATGCGACAAACTAATGGAAGGGTCTCAAGTTTGACACACATATTACAAGTGTAGGCACAATTCTCTTTCTAATGTCATAGTTAAATAGCATTTTTCTGCACTATTGATGCTCATCGCTATGTTGAATATATAACTAAATTGTTCAATTAAAACTGAGCGATATTTATTTTTTATTTTTTTCAAACTGTTCTACAGTTTGGCGAGTCAATGTATAAAAACAACTATGCAATTATCTTTATTAAATAAATTAAAAAAAAAAAAATTCTAACGTGGTTCGAAATTACGATTGCCTGAGTCGAGGTTCGAATCAGGATACGGATAAGTTTCGGATATAGTAATGATTATTATACTGGATACGGATACGGATGCGGATGTGAAATTATTTCGTATTATCCGTTATCTCCGATTATCCGTTATCCGTTTCGGATAATTTCGGTTACGGATATTTTTTATCTCCGATTATCCGTTATCCGTTTCGGATAACTTCGGTTACGGATATTTTTTATCTCCGATTATCCGTTATCCGTTTCGGATAATTTCGGTTACGGATATTTTTTATCTCCGATTATCCGTTATCCGTTTCGGATAATTACGGTTACGGATATTTTTTTATATCGGATATCCGATAGTTTCGGTTACGGTTACGGAGCTCCATAACATCCCTGGTTCGAACCCCTAGCGGTGCCCTCAGACTAAAATCGTACCCGTCAGACGGGATTCCTTCAGCCGCTCCATAAGTCCTTCCTTTGGTTTGGAGTGCCATTTGCACTCGCCCCCTATCGTCCGGTGAAGCTGTAAAGGCCAGCTGCGGATACCAGCATTAGAGTTGTCTGAAAAAAAAATTAAGGAGCCTAGTAGGGGCTTACCTCTTCGCAGGATCTAGTTGTAACAACTTGTCGAGTAAGTCACAGCCATACGGATCTTTCACGTAATGCTTTAGTCTTTCCTAGAAATAATAATAATTTCTTATAAAATACTAGCTGTCCCGTCAAACGATGTGTTGCCTTAAAATAAAAAAAAAAATTAGGGGTGGACTACCCCTAACATTTAGGGGGATGAAAAATACATGTTGGCCGATTCTCAGACCTACTCAATACGCTCACAAAATTTCATGAGAATCAGTCAAGCCGTTTCGGAGGAGTATGGGAACGAAAACTGTGACACGAGAATTTTATATATAAGATTAAAGTTTGTGTACATGTACATGCATGTTTGTTACTCTTTCACGCTAGAACTACTGAACGGATTTTGATGAAACTTAACAGTAATATACCTAATTAAGAATATCTGATTCCTGCGACACAAGACTTGAGCTTAGTGCAGGGATTGATGTTAAATGTCTTGTCTTACCATTAATGTAATGTGTACAAAATAATGTACAAATATAGTTTACATGTCAGATTAACATAAAGATATGCGAATTTCGGCGAAATATTACGATAAATGTGCTGCAGATGGAGTTGGTCAGCTAGTTTCTTCTTATAAAAACAAAACACTTGTCAACAAATATTTTGTTTTAATCTGTATGGATATAAACTCACAACTCTTGCCTGTGTGTGCAGGAGGGTGGGCATTATTTATTATCCTTAAAAAAAACCAGGATTGTATTATAGGAGAGGGCTCTGAGGATAATGTAATGGTGCACCCGCCTGCGCTAACGGTTTACCGGCACCAGTGGGGGATGATAAGATGTGCATGAGGTCAAATCACTTTACACATGGTGATTTACTAGGGGAATACTATGGTAGTCGACCTAATACAACATTGGTAGCAATGGTATTAGTCCACTTTAATAACAGCCCCCTTTCCTCTGGTCAAAGTATTGTCATATAATCTTATATATAAAATTCTCGTGTCACAGTTTTCGTTCCCATACTCCTCCGAAACGGCTTGACTGATTCTCATGAAATTTTGTGAGCGTATTGAGTAGGTTTGAGAATCGGTCAACATCTATTCATCCCCCTAAATGTTTGGGGTAGTCCACCCTTAATTTTTTTTTATTTTAAGGCAAAACAACGTTTGCCGGGACAGCTAGTATAATATATACCTAGGTATTATACCTAGGTATATATTATTATCGTCGTAAATTATAACTGACCCAATTTCTTGCTCATAGAATAGAAATAGAATAGAATAGAAAATCATTTATTCAAATAAACTTACATTGATGCTCTTTTGAATAGTCATCACATATTTTTTAATCTACCGCTCATTACGAAAGCTGTCTCATCACAAGAAGAACGAGCAAGAAACTTGTGTGTTGCTCTTTTAAATAATTTTATTCTTACTTTACAATTTTTTTTTTATATCATAATTTGACCGCAATCTCACCTGATGTTAAGTGATGATGTGGTCTAAGCTGTTACACGCAAGCTCAAATGATACCTATTCACTTTTGACTTAAAAGACCCAATGTTGTAAGAGGCAGGAAAAATAGACGCTAGTAGAGAGTTCCACTCCTTAGCTGCTCATTTAAGTTGAAGTGTGTGAATACAAACTACCGATTAGCACTAATTCAATTAAATAATCAAATAGAAAAAATATTGATTACACAACAACTGGTTAAACAATTAATAAGAGGAAATCAGTCATAGTGATTAGAGCAGACCAGTCCCTACAAGCAGCACTCGTTCACGAGTATGACGGATTTTATGATCCTCCACTGGTGCACCATTCCATCATCCTTAAAACCTTACCTTGACTTTCCTCTTCTGTCCCTTGGGCAGCTCCATCTTGTTATACAACTCTAGGCTCTCCACGCCGGGCCACACGTCTGGGGTACACGAGCCGCACAGCTGAGAGATCAGGATCAACTGCTGCTGCTCAGTAGGACCCTGTTCAGTTAACAATATGGGTCTTTTGATGAATGTGTGCGCTGGCGCATCAGTAGTAATATTTCGAAATTTATGGATGTTATAATAACGCTTCCGGGCTGAGATGATGATGATGATGACGATGATGATGATGATGATGATAATGATGGTGATGATGATGATGATGATAATGATGGTGATGATGATGATGATGATAACGCTAACTTCAATTTACTCACTGGTGAAGCGATATTTTTATTAGTTTTAGGGTACAATGAGACTGGCATGTACTCTTAGTCTAATAATAATAATAAAAATAAAAATATTTATTTACTGTTAACATTACAAATTTATAGATGTGTTTAGGGAGTAACTGTGGTCTATCGTGTTAGTCTATTTTTTTTCCACATCTGAATGGCAGCAGTCTGTCATTCAGGCTGTCATTCATTCATGTGACATAGGCCTCCTTCAAGTATTTCCATAGCGTTCGGTCCCTTGCACTCTGAGTCTATACTCTTAGTCTAACAAAATTAAAATAATGCCAGAAAAAGATATAATAATCTCAGGACAATTCACACAGAGCCATCTAGACCCAAGTTAAGCTAGCTAAAGCCTGTGTTATGGGTACTTAATAGCTGATGTAAATACATAGATTTTTTTTTCGTAAATACATACAAAACCCAGACAGATACAAAAAAACATACTCATGAATACAAATGTTTGTGAATGCGAGGAATCGAAACTGCGACCGGATATAAAGGGGTGTGCTAAACCGCTAGACCATCGAAGTCGTCGAAATGATGGATATATACAGGTTCTCTTCTGATATGTTATATCGAGATTGCACTGTATATAAGTTTAGGAGCAATAATAAATTGTAAATATACAGGTTGTCTTCTGATATGTTATATCGAGGTGGCACTGTATATAATTTTAGGAGCAATAATAAATTGTAATATTATAAACACGAAAGTTTGTGAGTATGGATGTTCGTTACACATTCACGCAAAAACTACTCAACGGGTTTTGAAAAAATTTTACAGTAATATAGCTTATACTAATAATGTTAAATTCCAAGCGGACGAAGTCGCGGGAACAGCTAGTAATAAGGTGGCCAGTGTCATATACTGGCCAGCTATATACTGAGCAGCTACTACCGGCCCCAGGAGTTCAGGAGGGGAGGAAGGCGGCGGAGGACTGTCATATACTGGCCACCAGTCGCTAGTTTGAATATTTATAATATGAAATATAAGAGATGGTCTGATGACCTTAGAAATATTGCCGGCCCACTGTGGCTCCGATTGGCAAAAGATAGGAACACATGGAAAACGCTGGAGGAGGCCTTTGTGTCTAAAGGACACGTTAACTCAGAGACTGATGTGCAGAATTAGAAGTAACATAAAATGTATATATAAGTAACTAATATTTCTTCTATATTTTAAACTTTTAATCAAATATTATGATAGATTGTATTATTTTGTGTCAATTAATAAAGGCTTTGAATTTGAATTTGAAATATGAAATATATCTATTGACATGTGTCAATAATTTTCCATTCCAATAAATTAACTTATGTAAATACACATGTTATATATAAGTAAAAGTAGTCTACCTACCTGCATTATAGGTGATCGAGTCCACATTTCAGCCATAATACAGCCAGCGCCCCACATGTCCACTGGTGGGCCATAGTTGCGATCACCTGCATAAACAATTTACAATTCAACTTTTTAAAATGAACATAGAGCCTTTTTTTAATAGCTATATTCTTCCACAGAATATATAATTACTAGTTACTCGCCCCGGCTTTACACGGGTGTACATATAAACTCTTCTTGTGATGAGACAGCTTTCCGAACGAGCGGTAGGTAAAAAAAAATTGTTATGACTATTCAAAAGTGTTTATATTAAGTTTATTTGAATAAATGATTTTCTATTCTATTCTAAACCTTCCTCTTGAATCACTCTGTTTGTTTTAAAGATTTAAGCATACATAGGGACGGACAGTGACAGCAACTTTATTTTATTGTCTGTAATTATATTTTTTGTGTGTAATTAAATTAGTTTTTTTTTAGTGGATGATAATGTAATGGTGCACTCGCCTGCGCTAACGGTTTACGCTGGCAGCACCAGTGGAGGATGATAAGATGAACATAAAGTCAGATCAGTTAGCCCAACGTGACAAATTCACTGGAAATTTATTATGATGGTTTCCAGGGGGAACCGCATGGAGGTTGACCTGACATGGTACATTGCTGGCAATGGGGTTATCAATCCACATTAGTAACAGTCCCCTTCCCCCCCTATTTGTGGCAGTTAGCATCCAATATTTTCCCACATTATTCTTGATATCATCAATCCATCTCTCTTCTGTTGACCCACCCTTCTTTTGCCTGTTGCCAGCCATTTTGTTGTTACAATAGTCTATGTCCAGTCTTTATAAACTGTCTTAGGAGCTTTTTAAAGCTTCACAATATGGTAATCCCCCTTATAATAGAAGTATTCATCCATGCAGTTCCCCGTAGAAACCATTGTGATATATTCCTGGTGAATTTACCACAATGGGCTGACTGATTTGACTTGATCATCTTATCATCCTCCACTGGTGCCTCGCAGATGGATGCATTGTTCCAATACAAATGTTTTTATTTATAGATCCTAACAATATTTTGGTTTATGTATATTAATGGATGGTATTTCAGTTTCTGTCGGGTGGTACGGTGGTGAAACTCAGCAGCTGGTATTAATCCGAACAATAACCATTTAGTAACACTCACCTAATAATAACTCCGGAGGTCTGTACCAGAGTGTGACCACTCTATTAGTGTATTTATTCGCCTGTCCCGATTTCGCGACACTGAAAGCCCGCGCCAGACCGAAATCCGCCAATTTCAACGTCCCATTCTTTGTAATCAATACATTCGCTGCTTTCATGTCGCGATGCAATATTTTATTACTATGTATGTAGTATAAACCATTTAATAATTGTTGCATCACCTTTTTGATCTCACCCAAGCTAAATTTAACGTTAACATTAGACAACAAGCCCGCCAGATCGTGTTCGCAGAAATCGAAAACTAAATAAAACGTTGACCTATATTTATTGTGTAATGTCGCTTTAGTTCGACATATTTCTATTAAATTTACAACATTCTCGTGTTTTAATAACTGTAATATCTTTATTTCCCTCAGCGCCGTGATAGGGAACCCTTCTTTTTCGTTGTCCATCAGCACTTTCTTCATAGCAACAAACTTTTTACTACTATTCCTAGCTCGCGCTTTAAACACCTCCCCGAAGGTACCTTGGCCTATTTTCGCGACTTTCTCGTATTTAGACGATTCATCGCAGAAGGGGAATTCGAAATCTTCTATGTATTTCTCTTTTTCCCTCATGTTCAGGATAGTAGAACTGGTGCTGATGACTGGCGCAGCGGACTCCCGTGGAGCGCTGACGCCTTGCATTTTGGAAGCAATTTTGGCGGCTTTTTTATAACTGTTGGGTATAGAAATATTTGGGATATGTCTCACATCCCAATAATAAGTGCCATTTAGAAAATTATATAGATTTAATAAAAGATAGTGAAGTAAAAGCAGAACAGAAAGTAAAAAAATAAACACGATAGAACAATATCCACGAACAGGTAATGTCAGTCAATCATCATTCAACGTCAGTCTATTATTGACTGTCTAGAAAACTGTCAAAAACGTCATCAACTATCTCGATTCTACACAGATTAAAAAAATAACACTTAACGTGTTTTATTCAATTGACGAATACAACTTAAAATAAATACTTATAATACATATAGGTTAAGTTTCTCTTCTAGGAGAACTGTATTGAATATTTATACTTTATTATCGATATACATATTAGAAACTAAAATCAAATAGATTTTAGCACAAGGACACATCCCTTATATTCCATTTCACGCAATATTTGTACACAAATTAATAATTCTCATAAATGCCAACATGAAAAGAGACGTAACTTTCTATCCAATCTGTCATTTTGTGAAATTTTGTGTGAATGTGAAATTCATTCTAATGTTTATGCGAATATTTATTTGTTTAATATACCAAAACAATACAGTTTTATAATAATAAAAGGTATTTGTATTTTTATGTGAAATTACTATTCCGATCCATCTCTAGTTTTAATTTTGTATATAATAATTTTAGAATAAAATAGAGTTTTCTAATTTAATTTTATCGATCGCAAAAGTAGGTCATTGTTTTTATTAAGTTTCTTTATTTTGCTACATTAATTATCGTCATATACACTTTCTAGAAACCTGATTATAATTTGACTAAGGCGTTACGCCCCCAACACAATAGTGCTTTGATAACACTATCGTTAAATAACACTCATAACTTTATTTAATATTATATTGGTATATTGCAGTTGTACAGTTTTTGTCGAACATTATAAAATGACGGTCTTTGCCTTCTATAATTATTTTATTTTTTAAGAAAATAAGTTTCGCATTTCTCCCGCCTATTTGTTTTCGGTCTATGTGAATGTTACACCTCATCACAAGAATATACGTGTGTCATTTTAAAAGGATATTAATAATCGGGAATACACTTATTATCAGCATTAGTAATACATGAGTGGGCAGACATTTGTTCATATTAATAAATATGTGTAATATATATTTTTCCATTGTGTCACTTAAAATTACTTATTTTAAATGAGTACTAATACCAAAATTTTAAACGGCAATGTGGGGAACGAGTTCTAGTACCTGCCCTGCTCTTAATGTGTTAATATATATATATATATATATAACTCAAAGGTGACTGACATAGTGATCTATCAATGCACAGCCCAAACCACTGTATGGATCTGGCCGAAATTTGGCATGCAGGTAGATGTTATGTTGTAGGATTTTGATTAATTCTACCCCCAAGGGGATAAAATAGGGGATGAAAGTTTGTATGAAACTTTGTCAATTTTAAACCGATCGAGCTGAGACTTTGCATGCATGAATCTACTGTGATGTAGGCATCCCCAAAGAAAGGATTTTGATAAATTCCACCCCTAAGGGGATAAATAAATGCGAGCGAAGCTGCGGGCAAAAGCTAGTATATATATTTCTCATTTGGTTTTCACCAAATGAGCTCGGTGATTTTGCCAATGTCATGGTTATAGACACTATGGTGTAGTTTATAGTTTTCTTGTCTTGTAAAAGTTAAGTATGTTTTATATGTTTTTATTGTTTACAGAACCATGGCTAGTGAAAGTAGTTCAGCTGTGTTAGATACGAATGATGCTGATGTGACGGACACAGAGGCCCCCAGTGTCACTGATGAGGCAGCTGAAAGTATACCATTGATTATGGAGCATGGATATGACATAGCTGTCAAGGTAAGGCGTTTGCCCATACTTTTATATTTTTACCAACTGTTCCCGCAACTTCGTTCATGTGGAATTTTACTTTATTTTTTAAAATTAAAGTAGCCTAAGTTACTCCTTATTACGTCAGCTACCTGCCAAAAAAAGTCTCGTCAAAATCAGTTCAGCCATTTCAGAGATTAGCTGGAACAAACAGACGGACAGACAAAAATTGTAAAAAATGTTATGTAGGTAAATAAATGTGGGTAAATCCGAAAAGTTCCAGTGCTTCAATTTAGTTTATTTGAATAAACGATTTTCTATTCTATTCTATTCTAAACAGAGACTAATTTTATTTCCTTAAAGCTGACAGATGTGATTTTAATTTGCAGGTAGATGCTCCAATGAAACAGCTGTCGACGATGGAGACGTACGTGACGTACCGGGTGCGCTGCGTGTGCGGGCGCTGGCAGGCCCCGCCCCACGTCCGCCGCAGATACAACCATTTTAAAGTACGTATCTATTCAAAGAGTATAAAAAAATTGTCCCCGAGTATGGCCCTATGCTTTACAAGTTCATTATCAGCCCACTGCTGGACATAGGCCTCTCCTAAGGTACGCTACTGGGTACAATCTTGAGCCCTGTTATTACCCTATATATGTAGCCACTCCATCTAGCATTACGTTTGCCAATTCGCGGTTTCTACTCTAGAACACGACTACTATAATGAACATCGTTTCTGTGACAGGGCCAGACCACTGCCACTAGCAAATACGAAAAGCTATTTCAGTGACTTTAGTTCTATTTAAGGGTAATTTCAGTATATCTATTGAAAGCAGCACTAATTATGATGACAACTTAGGCTTTGAAGCCGGCTACCGCAAGAAAAACCCCCAAGTAGCGCCCGTGACTTGTGACACGGGTGTAGGTTTAAAAGGCCCTTTTAGAATGCATTAACACTCACCTTCACTACTTGCAGCTTTCCCCCAGGCCCAACTAAGACCGGGATAAACCCATTTCTAATACAATTCGCTTTAGTATCCAATACACAACCGGCACGCCTTACGCTCGTCGACAAAGCCGCGGTTCACCCAACGAAAGAGCATTATTAAATTTTTTTTTGGTCTACTCTAATGCTGTTGGCCGCAGCTGGCCTTTACAGCTTCAACGGACGTTAGGGGGCGAGTGCAGATGGCACTCCAAACCAAAGGAAGGACTTATAGTGGGGCTGAAGGACAACTCTTGCTTGACGGATACGACTTTAGTCTGAGGGCACCGCTAGGGGTTCGAACCTCGGCTCAGGCCGTCGTAATTTCGATCCCCGTTTGAATTGAACGGGGGATCCGAAGGACAACGAAATATTATAATATAAAGTACATATGGACTTTTTATAAAACGAAACATTAGCGCGTTTTAATTTTGTTACAGCGACATCTATTGGCGTTGCATGAAATTATATTTTATTAATCACTATTGTTAACTATCGTGTGACGCACCATTAATTAAAAATGGTAAAGTCAATAATCATGTAACCTGAATCGGAACGTCAGAGGCCAGAGCCAAAGTAATCTATGTGACATTGACAAGTGGATGACGGATGATTGAACGTAGGCAGCGGGAGTTTTGGAGCGAAAGTGTTGATATTATTATAAAACAAATAAGAGATAGGTAATTGTGAATATTGTAGGCATTGAGGTGTTTCTCTCCCTGACTAACCGGCATTACGCCTAAGTCGTCAGGATACTAGTGATTTTAAAACTATCTATTTAAACTCTAACGCCATGTTACATATAATATTTGCAGGTATTACACAAAAGACTGGCTGCGACGCATCCCTTCATAGCGCCTCCAGCGCTGCCTCCGCTGCATTCAGCGCGGCAGCAACTCGACAGATATTCCCCCGCCTTCGTTGCTATACGCACGTTAGCGCTGGACGCTTTTTTAAGTATGTACTTTTAATTATTTTTATAATAATAAATAATAATATACATTTATTTTCATTCAGTTTGCAGCAATATATACGACGGCCTCCGTGGTCCAGCGGGTTCGATTCCTCGCACGGTACAAACATTTGTATTCATGAGTATGATTGTTTGTATCGGTCTGGGTGTTTTCTATGTATATTATGTATGTATTGTGCCGTTCGAGGAATCGAACCCGCGACCATCGTATAGTAAAGCGGCGTGCTAAACCATCGAGTATATACAACACTAGCTGTACCCGCGACTTTCTACACATCCTTTATTATTATTATTAATTTATAGGGCTATTGTCAGATGTTTGTAGCACCTGTAGCACTGCGACCTGCATAGATCTATTGTGCTCGCCCTTTTCAGAGTTCGCTACCTAGACCCGTCAGGGACAAGAATTGAAGGATATTCTTAGAAGCGATGGTTTTTATCTCCTCAGGATAGAGTGTACACTTTCCAAAGGAGATATTTCGTTTATGCATGAGTGGGCTACAACCACATGCGATGTGTACTGGCGTTTCCTCTCATTAATTAATAACTAAGAATGTGAATTATGTTTGCAGATAGAATAGCAAAACATCCCATTTTCACGCACAGCGAAGACTTCAGGATATTCCTCACGACGCCTGATGAAGAACTGGATAAGGTGACCATAATATATACTAAATAAAAAAAAATATTAATGTAGGACATTTTTGTATTAACATATTTTTCCACTACCATTATGGCCAATATATAATATAAACTAGCTATTAGCCCCGGCCTCGCACGGGTGTACATCTTATATATAAAATTCTCGTGTCACAGTTTTCGTTTCCATACTCCTCCGAAACGGCTTGACCGATTCTCATGAAATTTTGTGAGCGTATTGAGTAGGTCTGAGAATCAGCCAACATCTATTTTTTCATCCTCCTAAATGTTAGGGGTAGTCCACCCCTAAATTTTTATTTTAATTTTAAGACAAAACAATGTTTGCCGGGACAGCTAGTATAATATATCAACCTTCATCTAAAATCACTATCTATTAAAAAACCATTGCGTAGTTTTAAAGATTTATACATAGGGACAGACAGCGACAGCGACTTTGTTTTATACTATGTAATGATTGGACGGCCTCGGTGACAGCGGTTTGGTACACAGCTTTACTTACAATGGTCGCGGGTTCTATACTTCGCACGGAACTTACGGAACGGAAGAAGAACTGGCAAGAAACTCAACTGAATTTTTTTTAAAAGCCAGTTTATTTACAATGTAAATTTTATATAGGTGAATGACTCGTGAATAACGAGCGTGCATGGCAATAGTTGTTCATGCACGGGATTTTCATTTAATGTTAGACATAGACACCTATATAAATATACATTGTAAATAAACTGGCTTTAAAAAAAAATTCAATTGAGTTTCTTGCCAGTTCTTCTCAATTACATCTATATACTAAACTGGACGGTAGGGAAAAAATTAAAATTATAATGTAAAAAATTTGACGTTCATAAGCGGCCTAAAGGTCCTACATGAATAAATGATTATTAAAATTATGAATTTTTAAATTTTGTATTCTAAGCACCTGACAATTGGCATATTACCCGCAATTAAAAAAAATGTTATGTATTATTAGTAATTCCTGTATGTTACAGATATTTAAGAGTGAAAACAGCGCGTTGAATCTATGGGGACTGAGCAGTGCTTTATATGGCAGCACAGAGAACAAACCAACCAATGGGGCACGGTGAGTTTACTGTATAATAATATCTTATATATAAAATTCTCGTGTCACAATATTAGTTACCATACTCCTCTGAAACGGCTTGACCGATTTTTATGAAATATTATGCATATTCATATAGGTCTGAGAATCGGCTACTATCTATTTTTCATACCCCTAAGTGATAAGGGTTGGCCACCTCTAACATTTTTTTTTTTTGGGCAAAATTTTAATTATGTGTCATTAAAAAATACATACAACCCTAAATTTTCACCCTTCTATCACCAACCCCTGTTTTTTTATAGTGTTATTAATTTATACGGGAAAATAACGTTTGCCAGAACAGCTAGTACCAAATATACCAAAAAAAATTTGTGTAATTATTGTAAACACCGAGTTTTTTGTTCTTTGCGTTAGCAGATGCTGGTGGTCACTCTATTCTCCCAAATTTGAATTTTAAAGACTGTGTATTATTATAAACATGTTCCACTATTATTTGAAAAAAATACGAGCTACTCAGCTCGTATTTCTTCTTGTCAGTTGTTCTCATCTCAAAATCATTCCGAACTGACGGTAGATATGACATATCATAAGAGTCTGTAATAGACCTACATAAATAAAGATATTTTGAATTTGAATTCGTGTAGGGCATTTTATTTATTTATTTATTAAAGTTTAATTTTTTTATTTTTTTTTTTTATTTATTCATTTATTTCAGGCAACTAGGCCCATATTATAAATACCTTATAGACTAACATACATATAATATAATATTTAAAAACTAATACAATAATATTGTCTGTGTGATCACGGCACTGAAGATGGCAATCTGCCACGGTAGCGCCGATACACCACACCTTTCGGCCAGTAGTCCTCTTTCATGAAGGTGGGCAGCAAGTCGGTGGGGACCAGGGCCACAAACGCTTTGAAACTCGCGTTGTGACTCGACTTCAGCTGCGTTACCCTCAATGTCAGGTTACTCTTGGTACGAATATAATCGACAATGTCCTGCTCCTTAGTGGCGTAATGTAGACGGGACAGGTACATTGTCGTGGTGAGTGCAGTGCCACAATGATTCAAAATAAAATTCAAATTCAAAAATCATTTATTCATGTAAGACTTTTTAGCCGCTTATGAACGTCAAATTTTTACATTATAATTTTATTTTTTTCCCTACCGTCCAGTTCAGTATTTAGATCCAATTGAGAAGAACTGGCAAGAAACTCAATTGAATTACTTTTTTTTAAAGCCAGTTTATTTACAATGTATTTTTATATAGGTGTCTATGTCTAACATTAAATGAAAATCCAGTGCATGAACAACTATTGCCATGCACGCTCGTCATTCAAGTAATCGTTTAGTGAGTAATAGGCCTTGCTCAGTAAATATGATTTAACAGATGTTTTGAATTTATTTAAGGGTAATTCCAACATATCCTTTGGTATCTTATTGTAAATTTTTATACCTATTCCCATAAAAGACCTATTAACTTTTTCTAAACGATACTTGGGGACAGCAAGTTTGTCTTTAAATCTAGTATTAATATTATGAATATATAATAGGAATGTATTATATATATGAATATATAATACATTTCTAGTGACCCTGTTTGTGCGCCTCTTCTTTTGTACCACGAAGCCACTTTTGTAGGTCGGTGGTTATCACTGTATCGTTATATATGATGTGATGAGGTGTCGCTACATAATATATTGTATACTGTAGTATGTAGGTAGTGAGTATACAGCTGTAATAATTGTACTATTTATTGTACATTAGTAAGTTTATTTGATAGTGTGCTACATGGCTTATTAGTGACGCGTACATTCCACGCGGAGTCGTAACGTGGACTGACTTTACACTGAACTTAAATCTATGTTATCTGGAGAGGTACTAATTTTTTTATTTATTTATTTATTTATTTAATTCAGGCTACATGGCCCATATTATAAATACCTTATAGACTAACATACATAAGAAATAATAATAAAATATGTAAATAAAATTGTCTCTATGGTCACGGCACTGACGACGGCAATCTGCCACGGTAGCGCCGATAGACCACCCCCTTCGGCCAGTAGTCCTCCTTCATGAAGGTGGGCAGCATGTTGGTGGGGACCAGGGCCACGAACGCTTTGAAGCTCGCGTTGTGGCTCGATTCCAACTGCGTCACCCTCAATGTCAGGTTGCTTTTAGTCCGGATGTAGTCAACAATGTCCTGTTCCTTGGTAGCGTGGTGTAGGCGAGATAGGTACATTGCCGTGGTCGGTGTTGCGGCACGTAACAAGAAGTTGGGCCCTGTCAGTGCTGTGCCACAATGGTTTCGATTGACCCTCTTTGTGCGCCTCTTCTTTTGTACCGTGACAATAATAACTAAGGAGCAAACTAACACTAATGGAAGGGTGCCGAGTGTTGACAGAAATGTTACAAGTGTAGGCACACTTTCTATTATTATTATTAACTTTCAGTGTCAAAGACCCGGAGTTCATAGCGGCGGCGGACTATCTGCTGTCTCTACAACAGAAGCTGACTACTCTGTGCGCGCTCACCACCAAGCTGCATAAAGGGTGCTCCGGGTTGGCCACGGAACTCATGAGGTGAGAGACGGCAGCTGTGTTAACATGTGTATTATATTTTTTATTGACGGAATCGGTTAAGCTGTTTAATAATAATAATAATAATCTCAGGACAATTCACACAGCGCCATCTAGACCCAAGTTAAGATAGCTAAAGCTTGTGTTATGGGTATTAGATAACTGATAAATACATATATTTGTTTTTCGTAAATACATACATATTATATATAGAAAACACCCAGACCGATACAAACAATCATACTCATGAATACAACTGTTTGTGCCGTGCGAGGAATCGAACCCGCGACCATCGGAAGTAACGCGGTGTGCTAAATCGCTAGACCACCGAGACTGCCAAACTAACCGCTTTATGCAAATGATCGCAGGTTTGGTTCCTCGCTAGTGCAAATATTTGTAGTCATGAGTATGTTTGTTTGTATCGGTCTGAGTGTTTTTTTTGTATATTATGTACTAACTGTGCCCGCGACTTTGTTTGCGCAGCGTATGCAACGGAAGCCCTCAAATATGAATAATTTTCCCCGTTCTTGCAATATTTTTCATTGCAGCTCCGCTGCTATTGGTCGTATCGTAATGTTATATAGCTTAAAGCCTTCCTCGACAAATGGACTATCCAACACAACAAAAAAAAAATTAATAATAAATATTTTTTTTTTCTTCTCTTTATTTTGGCAACAAACAGTCGTTATAAAAACATATAAATATACAAATAAAAGTAATTTTTACAATATTTTTAGTTTATAAGTATAGATTACGGCTAAATTACTATATTTCGATTTTCGTCGATTTTTCCGCTTCACGAGAAACTAGCAAATAAATAATGGCAACGCAATTATCTAAGTCTCAAATTTCTATTGTATGTTTGTATTGCAGCATGAAGCGGACGTGTGACGCGTGGGCCACGCAGGCGGGCGGCGCCGCGGGGCGAGCCGCTGCGGCCGTGGGCGCGGGCGCGGCCGGCGCGGCGGGGGGTGCGGGGGGCGGGGCGGGGGGCGGCGCGGGGGGCGCGGGGGCGGCCGCGGGGGGCCGGCCCGCCGCGCTGCTGCCGCCGCTGGCCGCCACCGCCGCCGCACACGTCGACAAGATACGACACAGGGACGCCGTGCACGGTCTGTTGTTTGATACTTTCTCTTAGAGGCTCTCGGACTCATGGGGGGTCGTGACCCGCGTGGGTCATGGGGGTCAGGGATCAAGTAAGTTCGATGTCCACGAGGGACATGAAAATGTAGGATAGATAGGGGTCTCGGGAAATGGGGGGTCGGAGCCTACAAAGATCAGGGAGAATCGACCTGATCACCTGCCACACTGCTGCCTCCGCTGGCCCCCACCACCGCAGCTCACGTAGAAAAAATCTACCAGAAGGACGCTGTGCACAGTCAGTTGTGTGATTTTTTCCAGCTTGGACTTTATTATACTACGGTGGCTAGAGGGTCGGGGCCCACGGTGGTAATAGGAGTCGGGGCCCAGGGCAAGGGTCGAGACTCACGTCATAGAGGTCGATACCCACAGCATAGGGGAGAGTCGGGACCCTATGTCAAGAGGAGTCAACACACCAACAACACATAAGCAATTTTATGCTTAAAAGTACACTCCAATAGTTGTTCTAAATAAATACTCGATGACGACCTCGGTGGTCTAGCGGTCTAGCAAACAGCTTTACGACCGATGGTCGCGGGTTCGATTCCTCGCACGGTACCAACATTCATGAGTATGATTGTTTATATCGGTCTGGGTGTCTTCTATATATACTATGTATGTATTTACGAAAAAAAAAATTATCTATATATTTGTATCAGTTATCTAGTACCCATAACACAAGCTTTAGCTAGCTTAACTTGAGTCTAGATGGCGCTGTGTGAATTGTCAAAAAAAAAATACACATAAACAAGACTAATTCTTGTGTTCATTGCAACTAAAGAATTGGCTGTAACTTGGTAATTTTTAGTGTCCAAGAATATTTAAGTAACACAAACACCTTCACGTAATTTTCATGCCTGTATGGTAAATATTGCTGATCAACAATTTCATGTAACATCATATTAATTATAATACTGTAATGTTTCACAAATGAATTATTTCATTTCATTGCATTGCAAGTAATAATCAACATAGAAACAGCTACGCACTCAGTCTTTGTGCAATCAGATATTTTTCTTTCTTTCTTTCTTTCTTTCAGATAATATTGTCTACCGACTTTTATTTGTTACGCCCCCTACTTCCTTAATTAATAATGATTAATTTCTCGTATGAATGAATTAATGTTTCCATGAATGAGTGGTAGAATAAAAGAAACACTTCTATTTCGAAATTGTTTTTAACAATATCCAGATTTTTGTAAAATGTTTTTTTTTATTGCAGCCGCATACGTCGCTGGCAACAACACAGACGAACTACACAACAGGTATTTATATAATTAACTAGCTGTACACGCGACTTCGTCCGCGTAGAATTTAACTTTATTTTCTAAAATAAAAGTAGCCTAAGTTACTCCTTAATACATTAGCTACCTGCCAAAAATGTCCCGTCAAAATCGGTCTAACCATTTCAGAGATTAGCCGGAACAAACAGACAGACAGACAGACAAAAATTGTAAAAAATGTTATTTTGGTATGGTATGGTATATCGTATTTATATTCATGCATATATGTAGTAAAAAACGGTTATTTCAATATTACAAACAGACACTCCAATTTTATTTATATGTATAGATTAATAATAATAATATCTATATAAAAAAATGATTACATATTAATAATATATGTACATTTCAGATTAGAGCAAGCATCAGAAGCCCTACGTTCTGAACTGTCCGATTGGATACCAAAAACAAGGAGCGAAGTTAAAAAGTTACTACTTCAATTGGCCGATAGACAAGTCCAAGTCTATACGCAGACTCTGCAAGCATGGGAGAACGCGTTGAAACTATCCACGGAAGCGGATTATGGGGAAATATTTAAAACGGTTTCGAGAAACGCCGTCCACAATTTATCACCATCGAAATCTGGCACGCCTATATTTGGTACGTCGACAACGGAAAAGGACGTCGAAGATCTAGCGAGCAGTGACACTGAGAAGCAGGATCTGAGTGATATAGAACGAGACAGGGATCCGTTGAGGGAATTCTCCGACGTCGACCTCTCGTCATGATTGTGCGATTCGATATTGTTAAGTATTTTAAATGAGTTCTGAATTGGAGTCAAAATCAATATATATTTATTCATGTAGGTCTATTACAGACTGTTATGATATGTCAAATCTACCGTCAGTTCTAAGTATGATATGAGCATGAGGTCAGCTCAGTGAGCACATCGTGACAAATTCACCAGGAATTTATTTATTTACTTTATTTTTTTTTTATTTATACTCTTTATTGCACCAATTACAGAACAAAAACAAAAAAAAAACAATTAAAATGGAAAATATACACTGATACAAAAGGCGGTCTTATCGCTAAGCAATCTCTTCCAGACTACCTGTAGGTGGATAGAGAAATAAAAATAAGAACAGGGTAGGTGGCGCACGTAATAAACAAAAATAAATATATATGACACATTAATACATATATACATACACATACAATATACATATACTTAATAGTGCACATACATTTGGTAAGAATGAAGGAAGATTAGTTATGAGAATAATAAGAAATTAATTAAAGGGAAAGACAATGGGATTTGACAGAGGATTCAAAGCTGGCAAGTGATTGATTGCTCCGAATGCTAGAAGGCAGTGAGTTCCACAACCTAACGGCCTGGACAGAAAAGGAATTTATCACGATGTTTTCCAGGGGGAACTGTGTGGAGATCAACCTGACGTGGATACTGTTACCAATGAGGTTATTAGTCCACATTACTCAAAATTCTAAGTATATATATATTATGTCCGTCCTGCTCGCACGCCACTCTCACTTCCACACGTACAAACTGTGAACAGTGCGGGAACGAGACGGAGATATCCAATTCTATTTAGGTCTCTATATTATTAATAGTTAATTTTGGGAAGGGACTGTTACGTTGAATCGATACAAAATTCAAAATCATCTTTATTCATGTAGGTCTATTACAGACTCTTATGATATGTCAAATCTACCGTCAGTTCGGAATGATTTCGAGATGAGAAGAACTGACAAGAAACTCAGCTCGTATTCTTTTCAAATAAATGTTGTACATGTTTACAATAATACAGATTCATTTAAATTCCGATTTTGGGAGAATAGAGTGACCAGTTGTGTTTGGAAATGTGGAAATGGTTGAAGGTTTTGCTGTTTTAATCCAGTTATATATACAATAACAATGGATCAGTATTGGAATTGTTTAGGCCAGTGGTTCCCAAACAGTTTTTGAAATACCTCAAACCTTATTGTAGCGATCACACTAATATTATAAATATGAAAGTTTGTGAGTGTGTATGTTTGTTTTACTGATAGCCGCACGTACCCCTTGAGGTAGCTTCACGTACCCCGGGGGTACGCGTACCACTAATTGGGTAACACCGGTTTAGGGAGATGGCATTGTATTATGGATGATATATTTTTCCATAGTCCACGATCATTAAATTACATTATAACTGTGTTCTGTAGATGACTTGGTGTAACATAGGGATGTGAAAAGTTATCGATTGTGAGTGAAATCGATTGTTATTCTTAAAAGTCGATTTTCTCGTTTATTTTAATATTAAATAAACTTGATTAATTAATAATAGAGTTTAACACAGATGGTTTGTTCATCTTTTTTTAAAATTCAAGTGGCATTAAAAATAAGGCCAAAGTGTCCAAAATAAGGCTACAGGCCGTATTCGAAAATCGATTATAGAAAAACTGATTCTTATTCATTCATATCAAATTAATCTTATCGAATAATAATAAAATCGATTACTATTCTATCAAAATTAATCAATCTAGAAATTATCATTTTATACACAGTCACATTCCTAGTTGAACACTGCCTATACTTTCCAGTGGTCGTGAGTTCTATTCCTGCACTATGCAAAAATTGCATATTCAAGTCTGTATTGGTCAAATTGTCAATTTATATATATATTCAAATTAAAAATTCATTTATTCATGTAGGACATATTAGCCGCTTATGAATCAATTTTTTACATTATAATTTTAATTTTTTCCCTACCATACAAAAGCTGTATGTAAGTATATTAGTTATCGTACTCATAGTACAAGCTGTGGTTAGTTTGATACTAGATGGCGCTGTGTGAATTGTTTGAAACAGTACATAAATGTGTTTGGCAATTTCATTGCATTCAGGGACCTGTAGGTCCCATAAAACTAACGATTCAAACATTAAGCATTTATTTGTAAATATTGTGATATATTATTTTAATAATATCAGCAGATCTGCAGATTTATATCATTTATTTTTAGATTTAGAAATATCTCCTTTGGAAAGTTTACACTCTATCCTGAGGAGATAAAAACCATCGCTCCTAAGAATATCCTTCAATTCTTGTCCCTGACGGGTCTAGGTAGCGAACTTTGAAAACGGGCGAGCACAATAGATGTATGTAGGTCGCAGTGTTACCGGTCCTGTAACACTGCGACCTACCTACATCTATTGATGCACCTGACAATAGCCCAAACAACCTAATTAAAAAAATCAAAATCAAACCTCACAAATATAAAAATCAGTGAATATCCTTTTTTAATTAGAATAAAGAAAAAAGGATAGAAAATTTAATTAATATCCGGCTTGTTTATGAATTCCATCTGAATCGGCGCCAAAATTTGAAAATGGAATGCGTTTAAATTTATTATTTTTTTATTATAGGCTTTAGATATGTAGTCATCTGCCAAAAAGTATATATTGATTTAAAAATAGTTACATTACAATTACAAACTATTGTAATAATTATAACTAAGTTATTGAACAATAATATATCTATATATACATAAATTACAAATTAATAATTACTTACAGCAATAATAACTTATTACACGCACGTGACACTCCTGGTGTTTCAGGCATCCATAGACTACGGTAACCGTTTAATCTTAGATGGGCTGTAAGCTTCTTTGCTACCATCGTAGTATAGAAAAAGTAACTTTCCGTTTTATGCTACTCGCCCCGCCTTCGGACGAGTGTACATGTATTATATATATAAACCTTCCTCTTGAATCACTATATCTATTTAAAAAAACGCTTCAAAATTCGTTGCGTAGTTTTAAAGATTTAAGCATACATAGGGACAGACAGCGACAGCGACTTTATTTTATACTATGTAAGAATTACGTATAATATTTATTAAGTATGTTTTTAGTGTACAATAATTTGAGGTAGACAATATTTAACACCTACATTTATTTAAATTAAAGTGCCCACGGGTGATCACCCAGTCCCAACGTGTTTTACTTTCGTTGCGGAGTGCCCCACCGGTGGGCATGCGGTCTTTAACGTGTGAAAAATATTCATAAAAAAGGGAAAGAAATATTCCCGAGTATGACGCGTGTAAATATTCAGTAATGTATATAACAATGGCAATACTTAACATGTAATATTTATTGTGTATAGTTAATTTATTGAAATATAATTATATAGTGATTTTGTAGTTTTGTAGTTTTATTGATACCGAAGTATTTCCCTCCGATCGATCCCCCCAGCATTAGAGTAGTCCGAAAAAAAAAACCGCGGCCAATAATAGAAAAGGAGAAAATTTTAACTAAATAACAAAATTTGTAATATGGGAACTATTTTTAAATTGAAATGTATCTCATCATTGTGAATAATAAAAAACAAGATTTAATATTCATAATAATTTATCTATACATATAAATAATATAAATACGGAACATACACCAAAAAACCACTTTTTAAAATTTTTGTCTGTCTGTTGGTCTGCTTGTTCCGGCTAATTTCTAAAACGGTTGAACCGATTTTAACGGGACTTTTTTGGCAGGTAGCTGATGTAATAGGGAGTAACTTAGGTTACTTTTATTTTAGAAACATTATTTTATTGTAGAAAAATTAAGTATAATTCCACGCGGACGAAGTCGCGGGTACAGCTAGTTTTACATAAATTTATAATAAATGCTCAAATTGTTTAACTCCCACTCTTATGCATGCCCTGCATCTTCGGATAAATAGAAATAGAAACAGAAGTAATCTTTATTCTATATTGATTTAATTATATTTAATTAACAACAAGGATTAGGCATGCGACAATCAACATAGAAACCGTTACGCACTTAATCTCTGTTCAATCAGATAACATTGTCAGCACTATGAATTTTAAGTTAGATATTTTCTACAAAAACATTATTATCATTTATAAATTCTTCAATTTTATAATAAGAAAATATTTTATAACACATTTGAATTTTTTGGTAACAAACTCTGGTAAATTGAGTACAGACTCTGGCAGTTTCTTGTAAAACATTACGCAATTTCCATAAAACGAATTACTAACTTTCGTCAAACGGCACTTAGGTAAAACTAGTTTGTTGACATTACGTAAGCTTTTATTAGAATAATCACCTACTTCTTTAAAACTGTCAATGTTTTTCCTGGCATACATAATGTTTTTGTAGATGTATATGTAATGTATGTAGATGATTCTCAGCAACGGTGAGGATATTTGATTCTTTAAAACATTCACGCAAAAACTCTTCTGAGCTGTCTTGTGTACCGTCGCTCGTCCAAAGACTGTATAGTCTTACGGTACATTTCCTCTTTGAGGCAGCTCCAGTAAAAAACATCCAATTTTAAATCCGGTGAATCTGGAGGCCACAGAATTGGCCATAGGCGCCCGATCCATCTGTTTGGATACCTTCTATTTAAATATGTATGAACCGGTACAGCATAATGCGCAGGGCAACCGTCATTTTGCAGCCAAGACGATTCCTTCAGCTCCTCGGAAACCTCTTCTAATAAACTGGGGAGATCGCTTTTAAAGAAACTATAGGGTCCCATGTGGGTAATAGCCTCCTCCAACTTGTTCCATTGTCCTCTATTCACAGCCATGCTCATCCAGTTTTCTTAATTCTCATCCACTTCTTTAGTATCATCAGACCACCTTTTTCTTTCTCAACCTCGTTTTACTCACCTTCTCCTTGTCAGTCCCAGCCAATTTGTTAATCATCTGCATATGTTACTGTAATGATAACATAAGAAGTTGGAAGGTCAGCAGTACATATTGTGTACAGTACTGGACCTAGTACAGAACCCTGTGGCACTCCAGCTTTTATTTTAAAACAATCTGATAGCCTTCATATCCTAATAAATGTTGCATATAGGACCTTAAGAGCATGTAAATGGTGTTCGGTAATGAGATTTTTAGCTTATAAAACAAGCCTTTGTACTATACTTGGCCGAATGTTAGTTAGTACATCCAAAAATACCCCTGAGCAGTATTCTTTTCTCTCCAGTGCTTGTGTAATTGTATATGGGACTCGGTGTATCTGTTCCGTAGTTCCATAATGAGCCTGAAAGCCAAATTGGTAGTATTAAACATGGTTCAGATTACTGTAGGAATCACTATGATATCGAACAACTTCCAACAGTTTTCCACCAACATGAGTATATAGTGCTGTTTCAAACTCCATCATCATCATCATCATCATCTCAGCCCGGAAGACGTCCACTGCTGGACATAGGCCTCCCCCAAAGATCTCCACGACGATCGGTCCTGCGCTGCTCGCATCCAATGCCTTCCCGCGATCTTGACCAGATCGTCGGTCCACCTTGCTGGAGGCCTTCCCACGCTGCGTCTTCCGGTCCGTGGTCGCCACTCGAGGACTTTACTGCCCCAACGGCCATCTGTCCTACGAGCTATGTGCCCTGCCCATTGCCACTTCAAACTCCATGTCATTTTAAAATTCTCTTCATACACATCAGAAGCAATCACAGTTGTAATGTTTTTCACCAGTGTGTGTATGCAAATGCCGTTTCAAATAGAGATTTGTCTTGAAACTTTTTTTACACACATCACAGCGATATGGCTTTTCATCAGTGTGTATAAACATGTGGCATTTTAATAGTCGAACTGTTCTAAAACTTTTTTTACATGTGCCACATGTATATTGCTTTTCATCAGTGTGCGTAAGCAAATGCCTTTTTAAGTACAGATTTGTCTTAAAACTTTTTTTACACACATCACAGCTATATAGGTTTTCGCGAGAATGTATAAGCAGGTGATGTTTCCAGGACTGTTTTGTTGTAAAATATTTTTTACACACATCGCAGCTATACGGCTTTTCACCAGTATGTGTGAACAAATGGTATTTTAATAGTTGAGCTGTTCTGAAACTTCTTTTACACATGTCACATGTATATTGCTTTTCACCAGTGTGTGTATGCAAATGTCGTTTCAAATAATGATTTGTCTTAAAACTTTTTTTACACACATCACAGGTATATAGGTTTTCGCTAGCATGTATAAGCAAGTGATGTTTCAAGGACCGCTTTGATGTAAAATATTTTTTACACACATCACAACTGTGTGTCTTTTCATCAGTATGTGAAAGCAAGTGTCTTCTGAAGATCTGCCTCATTCTAAAACTTTTTTTACACACATCACAGGTATATGGTTTTTCATCAGTATGTGTGTGCAAGTGCTGTGTCAAGTATCTCCTTGTTACAAATTTTTTTTTACACAGGTCACAACTATGTTCCTGTTTACAAGATTGAGAAACTGCAGAAGTATTTAACTGTGATCCAAGAGTGTTGATCTCCCTATAATCTTTAGACAAGTGTGGTGCCGGCTGAGTGTGAGCTGCCACATGTCGTTCTAGTCTAACATAACATGTTAACAATGTCTCTTTGCATACATCACATTCATACACTTTATCCAACACTACTCTTGTTTCCCCATGTACAGATTTATTCACATTATCTCCATTATGTAACACACACGCACAATAGTTCATTGAATGTGTGCTAGTTACAGATGCTGTGTCTTGTACGGCAGTGGGTCCTATAACCAAATCAGTCTTTATCTCGTGCTCCTCATAAAGTTGTAGAAGGTTATCATTCATCCTGCCAGAAAGCACTGGACACGTTTCTGTGGACGCCTCAGTCACATCAACAGGCTCCGTCTTCACAACTGCAGCTGTATGAGCTTCATACCGACTGACATCTTGTTCCGGCGACTGTTTCTGTACGGCGTACTCTGGAACTATCTGTTGTTTAGTGTCGGTACCAATATCTAAATCGTCTTCTCGTCGCCGTTTACTGTACGCAACGTCGGCCTGCGACTCCAAACACTCCTCCTTGACGTGTGCGGTGGAGCGTTTCTGGAGTACTACGGTACTACACATATTGACGGCTTCAATTTTCTCTTAGGAATGAATATCAATGCTGTGCACAGAAATAACACGGCTTGTTTTGATTAACTTTTGTAGGTCACAAAATATATACATATGTAGTAAGATATTTAGATAAGGACATATTTTTTAAATATTTGTTTATAAATTACAACACAGATCAAAACTTTTACTTGCTGTCAGTCTGTATAATAATCACTCTGACAATGTCAAAAGTTAACGTCAAATGTGACAACCACAATAAATCACAGAGCAAGTATATTTATTCTTCTCTGAATCTGGCGATTTGTGTTGTCATTTTCAAGTTTCTTTTATAAAGCGGAGAAATGGACACGTATTAGAAAAGTAGTAATTTATGGACAGGATCCGTACAGTTGATGGTTGGGAAGAATAGACATTTTAATATTAATATAAATAAAAATATTAAGTCACGGTGGTATCACCTCATCATTGTAGCGTCATATATGATGTGATGAGGTGTCGCTTCATAATATACTGTTTATTGTCATATGTAGGTAGTATGTATACCGGTGATATAATTGTATTATTTATTGAATATTAGTAAGTTTATTTGCTAGTTTACCACATGACTTACTAGTAATAGGTAGATACATTCGACGCGGAGTCGTAACGTGAACTGACTTTACACTGAACTTAAATATAGTATATGTTATCTGGGGAGTTAAACTAATGGGAGTGTGCCGAGTGTTGACAGAAATAATATAAGTGTAGGTACAACGTATTTCGAGTTAGTGCATTCATCTGTACTTGTCCATTATACCTTGAGGTTTATTAGAGTCGTCAGTGGCTAAACGGTCGAACTAGTAATTATCTATATACATGGCCCAGAACTCAACGTCAAGCCGAAAATGACAGGATTGACTGTAATTTATAACCATCATGAGACAAATCAGAAAAGAAATCTGACAGAGATAATTATGATGAATAAATATTTCTTTTAATTTTGTCAATTTTTTTTCTCTTGTGAGATACCTTACCATTCGTAAGGGCCCTCAAACAAAATTTCTATACGGGGTCTCGTCAAGGCACGCTAAGCTTCTGGATGGGTTGATACCACCGTGCTACAATGTATTCCTGATTTTTATTTATATTATAATGTGTATTCTTCCCAACCATTTCCAACTCTTCTGTAATCCTCCTGTAATCCTGTCCATAAATTGCTACGTATTTAATACGCGTCGATTTCCCCGCTTTGTAAGGGAAACTAGAAAATAGGTAATGGCAACACAAACCGAGAATTCAGTAGAAGAAAAATAACGTTTTGAAGGGAAACCAGAGTAAGAAAAATAATAGAAGGAAAATCTTGCTCTGTGATTTATTGTGATAGTCACATTTGACGTTCACGTTTGACATTATACGAGTATTTGATAGGTGATTAATATACAGATTAACAGCGTTCTGTGCAACTACACAGTCTTCATTTGTGTTGTGATATATAAACAAATATTTAAAAAATATATGTCCTTATCTAAATATCCCATAACATATGTATATAGTTTGTAATCTATAAAAGTTAATCAAAACAAGCCGTGTTACTTCTGTGCACTTCATTGATATTTCTAAAGACCAGTGAAGTCGCCAACATGTATAGTACCGTAGTACACCAGAAACGGCCCACCGCACACGTCAAGGAGGAGTGTTTGGAGTTGCGGCCGACGTTGAGTACAGTAAACGGCGAGGAGATTACGAGAGAGGACGATTTAGATATTGGTACCGACACTAAACGACAGATAGTTCCAGAGTACGACGCCGTACAGAAACAGTCGCCGGAACAAGATGTCAGTTGGTATGAAGCTCATACAGCTGCAGTTGTGAAGACGGAGCCTGTTGATGTAACTGAGGCGTCCACAGAAACGTGTCCAGTGCTTTCTGGCAGGATGAATGATAACCTTCTACAACTTTATGAGGAGCACGAGATAAAGACTGATTTGGTTATAGGACCCACTGCTGTACAAGAGACAGCATCTGTAACTAGCACACATTCAATGAATTATTGTGCGTGTGTGTTACATAATGGAGATGATGTGAATAAATCTGTACATGGGGAAACAAGAGTAGTGTTGGATAAAGTGTATGAATGTGATGTATGCAAAGAGACATTGTTAACATGTTATGTTAGACTAGAACGACACGTGGCAGCTCACACTCAGCCGGCACCACACTTGTCTAAAGATTATAGGGAGACTCACACTCCTGAATCTCAGTTAAATACTGATGCAGTGCCTCAATCTTGTGAAAATAAATATAGTTGTGACCTGTGTAAAAAATGTTTTTCGTCACAGTATGTCTTAAAACGGCACATGATTACACATACTGATGAAAAACCATATAGCTGTGATGTGTGTAAAAAAAGTTATAAAACAAGTGTGTACTTCAAATCGCACTTGCTTACACATAGTGGTAAAAGTCCATATTACTGTGATAAGTGTCAAAAATATTTTACAACAAGGCAGACCTTGACAGAGCACTTGCTTAAACATACTGGTGAAAAACGATATACATGTCAAGTGTGTAAAAAAAGTTTTAGTTTCAGGCAGACCTTGAGAGCACACTTGATTTTACATACTGTTGGAAACCCTCATATGTGTGACGTTTGTAAGAAATGTTTCTCAAGTAAGCCGGTCTTGAAAAGACACTTGCTTACACATACTCGTGAAAAGTCAAATAGCTGTAATGTTTGTAAAAAAAGTTTTAGATTAAAGGAGATCATGAAAAGACATTTGCTTTCACATACAGTTGAAAATGCACATAGTTGTGATATGTGTGAAAAATATTTTATATCAAAGGAGTTGTTGAAACAACACATCCTTACACATATTGAAGAAAGACCATATAGCTGTGATGTGTGTACAAAAACACATTTCCATACACACACTGGTGAAAAGCAATTTACATGTGACACATGTAAAAAAAGTTTTAGAACACTTGATATACTAAAATCCCATTTGTTTGTACACACTGATGAAAGACCGTATAGCTGTGATGTGTGTAAAAAAAGTTATAAAACAAGGCAGTCCTTAAAACAGCACTTGCATACACACACTGATGAAAAAAAATATCGATGTGTCATATGTAAAAGAAGTTTTAGAACAGTTCAACTATTAAAACACCATTTGTTTATACATACTGACAAAAGGCCATATAGTTGTGATGTGTGTAAAAAAAGTTTTAAGACAAATCACGCCTTGAAACACCATTCACATACACACACTGGTGAAAAGCAATATGGATGTGACACATGTAAAAAAAGTTTTAGAACAGCTAGAATGTTAAAATGCCATTTGAATACACATACTGATGGGCAGCCATATAGCTGTGATGTGTGTAAAAAAAGTTTTAAAACCAAACTGTATGTGAAACGCCATTTGCGTATACACACTGATGAAAAGAAATATACATGTGTCAAGTGTAAAAAAAGTTTTAGATCAGTTCATCTATTAAAATGCCATATGTCTAAGCACACTAATGAAAACACATATCGCTGTGATGTGTGTAAAAAAATTTTTACAACAAAGCAGTCCTTGAAACAGCACTTGCATACACACTGATGAAAAGCAATACACATGTGACAAATGTAAAAAAGCTTTAGAACAGCTTAACTAATTATAATGTAAAAACTTGACGTTCATAAGCTGCTAAAATGTCCTACATGAATAAATGATTTTTTAATTTGAATGTGAATATGAATTTAACTATTAAAATACCATTTGTTTACATGTACTGTTGGAAAGCCATATAGCTGTGATGTTTTTAAATAAGGTTTAAGAGAATTGAATACTTGAAACAGCACTTGCATAAATACTGGTGAAAAGCTGTGTAACAGTGACTGCTTCTGATGTGTATAAAGGGACATAAAAACAACACAGAAATGAAAACTGTTAGATATTTTATCCTAGCGATTTCTGTAGTAAACTGTACCACATTTAATAATAGTAATAATTTTATAGTACACTTACGACCTTGACCAAATAAAGAAAAAAATATTTAATGACCTAACCCAATAAAAGCCAAATGAAATAGTTTCATCGTTTTAGCTTAAAAAATGACGACACTTCCATACAATATTTCATAACACTTTCAACCCCATATAACTGGGGGGAATGGGGATTGTTAGTAATGTGGACTGATCATCTTATTGCTAGCAATGTACCATGTCAGGTTGACCTCCACGTGGGGAACCACTGGAAACCATCGTGATCAATTCTTGGTGAATTTGTCACGATGGGCTAACTGATCTGACTTCATGTTTATCCTATCATCCTCCACTGGTGCCCCGCCAGCGTAAACCGTTAGCGTAGGTGGGTGCACCATTCCATTATCATCCATAAAAAAAAACCCCATATAACTATCTTTATACGACACTTCCATAGCTACCTATATACACGTCAATAGCTGCCTTTATACAACACGTCAATAGCTGCCTTTATACGACACGTCAATAGCTGCCTTTATACAACACGTCAATAGCTGCCTTTATACGACACGTCAATAAGTGTCTTTATACAACACGTCAATAGCTGCCTTTATACGACACGTCAATAAGTGTCTTTATACAACACGTCAATAGCTGCCTTTATACGACACGTCAATAACTGTCTTTATACGGCACGACAATAGCTACTTATATATGACACATCAATAACTGTCTTTATACGATACGTCAATAGTTGTCTTTATACGACACGTCAATAGCTACCTATATACGACACGTCAATAACTGTCTTTATACGACACGTCAATAGCTGCCTTTATACGACACGTCAATAAGTGTCTTTATACAACACGTCAATAGCTGCCTTTATACGACACGTCAATAACTGTCTTTATACGACACGTCAAACATCTGTTTCTAGCTTAAAAAACGAAATTACATAAAAACTTTCATCCCCTAATTTATTTTATCCCCCTAAGGGTAAAATTTTACAAACTTAGAATGTCATGTCATTTATTTCTATTTAATTAGCAGCCTCACAAATAAGTGTCAAGTTTCTAGCTTCAAAAATGACGATTCTTCCATACAATCTTTCATCCCCAATTTCAACCCCTTACAACCCTTTTTTCGCATTAAAAAGTAGCCAAATGTCCTTTCTCAGGGTCTAGACTATCTGTGTACTAAATTTCATTTAAATCAGTTCAGTAGTTTTAGCGTGAAAGAGAGACAGACAGACAGTTACTTTCCCATTTATAATATTAAGTAAGGATAACGGAGAAAATACAGGTACAGTAAGTGCCACCTGACCTGGTATAGAATAATACTGATATCAGTGGGCTAATTATGTAACTTGGTTCGCAACGATTTTCGTATGTAACGTAGTGAAAATGACGTCATCTGTCAATAATGCGATCATATAGACGCCATTTGACGCTGTCAACTAGCATTGCAACGTAAACGCAACTTTACATATCGATAAAAATTATTTCTATCGAATGTCGATTTAGTAACCTCGTTGCAACGTCACGTAATCGCTATTTTGCCGAAATGACAGCGTGGAATTGAAATTTACATTAGAGAAACAATTTAGAAGGTGTTTCTTTTGGTTACAATCTTTAAAATATCAGCATTAGCAGCATTATTTATCTTGTTTTGGTAATTTTCAGTATTACATATATTTTTATTATATTAAATATTACGTATAAAGTCGTGAAAAGGTTTTAAATTTATTAAAATAGGAAAATTGTCACGACTTTCACAACACGACATCAGTGTTGCCAATTCGATATTTTATTTTCGTCCCAAATCACATAGAATGTTGTATTAACTAGAGTAAATGTTTAATATAAAATTAGGGTAGATTATGATATTAATATAATTAAAAAACTATTTCAATGAATACGGTGCTCTGTGAACGGAATACAACGTTTATGATGCTCTGTGATTTGTTTAAAGTAAATAAATTTATTTGTTTAAAGTTTTTACAATTATGTACAAATTTAAAAAGATGTGCCCATATCATTTTAAATTTATATGGATACCTACGTACTTACCTAGGTATCTATAGCAGAAAAGAAAATTTAATTTGTAGGTTAGATTAATATTATTAATGATTATAAATAGTTTGTATAAAATATGCTTTTATATTCAAAATTATTAATTATTTTTTCATTAGAATAGAATAGACTTTCTTTATTTTATTTTATTAAATATCTTTAATAAAATTAAAATAAAAGAACAAGTGAACGCTGCAGTATATTTTGTATTTTTTCACACAATAAAAATTGTTTCAATTCAACCAACTAGTGTAACAAGTAATAAATTAAAATGTATTCTAAAGGTATAAACTATCTAATGTTCTGACTTTTTAAATTGTGATGAACAATATTCCGCTGAACTTCATAGTAGTGTTTTATCGATAGAAATGATTTATGACGGTCATTCGAACTTGATGCATTTTTAAATTGAAATGATTTCATATTGCATCACAACTTCAACAGAAACAATTTCATATCGTGTTACATAATTAGCCCGCAGGTGTCACACCTTCCCAGTGCAATATTTACTATTTGTTAACACACTTGCTACTCGCTCCGGCTTCACATGGGTGTACATGTATTATTACATATATAAACGATCCTCTTGAATCACTCTATCTATTAAAAAAACTGCACAATCCGTTGCGTAGTTTTAAAAGTTAAGTGTCGTTCTAGTCTAACATAACATGTTAACAATGTCTTTTTGGATACATCACACTCATACACTTTGTCCAACACTACTCTTGTTTCCCAGAGGTCATCCTGATATGGTACATTGCTAGCAATGGGGTCAACAGTCCTAATTACTAACAACCCCCTTTCCCCCACAAAATGTAGGTTAGGTTAGGTTAAAGTGTAATGATCACACAAAAGATAACTGGAGCAATGATCACTGGTACGCTCAGAACGAAGCTCAACCTGCCCCCTCAAAATCAGTGAGGAACCGCAACCCCCAAGGGGGTAAGGGTAAGTCGTTGTCAGAGAAAGGTGTTTTAATGAAACATGACGTCAGATTCCAGTATTACTACATATACTAGCTGTCGTCCGCGACTTTATCCGCGTGGAATTAAAATATTTAATATTTCTAAGTTCATTTATGACGGTCCATAGCGCTAAGTGAAATAAGATAACACACTACGTCGAACACAAATAATGAGGTAGCGGCAAGACAATGATGAAATAGAAATAAAACGAAACTTTTTGAGGTAATGAAATTTTATTATTCATATAACAACTTTAGAAGTTGATAGATTAGCTTATAAAGCAAAGTCTCAGACCCGCCAGGACCACTTATATTCTAATCAAAGAAATCTGTAGGAATTATTAAAAGTTTTTTTTTCCAACTTTTCAAATGCTGTTGTCCAGAGCAAGGCTTTACAGCTGTCATTGAACAGTAGGGGACGAGTGCAGATGGCACTACAATCCCGCGTATGGACGTATATCGCACCTGAAGGCTCCTGCCTAACGGATATGACTTTGAACAACGGAAATTCAGCTCTATAAATCATAATTACGATTCCCGTTTGAATGGGGGATCGATATTAGTCGGGGCTGTTATGCATATTTATTTATTTATTATTTATTTATTTATTTACTATTTATTTATTATTCATTTATACATTTCAATATTACAACACCATTACAGTATATCCAAATCGGTGTTGCAACTTAGTACACTTATACATTTGATATGAAATTTCGGATACAGATAGGTTTCGGATATAGGAATGGTTATTATACCGGATACGGATATGAAATTATTTCGGATTATCCGTTAGTTTCGGATAATTTCGATTACGGATATTATATTTTTAAGGAATTTTAAAAGTAAAATACAAATAGCTATATATGGTTACATAACGTGTCTCAATTAGGCTCCGCCCCTATCCGATATTATCCGAAACTTTCGGATTCGGTTACGGTTACGAATATTTTTTTATATCGGATATCCGATAGTTTCAGACAGCTTTCCAATAAGCGGTAGATTTAAAAAAATTTTGACTATTCAAAAGTGCTTAAATTAAGTTTATATGAATAAATGATTTTCTATTCTATTCTATTCTTTCAGTTATGGTTACGGAGCTCCCTAGCATCTCTGATATAGCATCTATGATATAGTTTATTAATTTTAAAACAGTACTACTCAATGATAGAACTACATTTAGTTCATTAGACACTAAGCGAACGCTGGCGAGCCTGGGATTGGTACATAAATCTATCCAATATACATACTATATAAATAAGTTTAATAACCTTCATAAGTACTTGTATTTAGAAACATTCACATGGCCAGTGGCGTAACTACAGGGTGGCAAGTCGGCAAAATGCCAAGGACCCCCAGCCGGAAGGAACTCCAGTAGAGGAGGAACCCACTTCTTAAAAAAAAAAAGTTTTGTCTTTAATTTATTTAATTTTCGATCTTAGCATACACTGTCTGACACCTTAACGCAGTGTTCCTTAGCCGAACATACAGAAGGTACGTAAATAGGACTCTTTGCCTTTCCTATAAAAAAAAATCTATACATATAAATAAAATTGGAGTGTCTTGTCTTGTGTGTTGTTTTTTACTACATGCATATAAATATAAATACGGTACATACACCAAAATAACATTATTTACAATTTTTGTCTGTCGGTCTGTTTGTTCCGGTTAATCTCTGAAATGACTGGACCAATTTTGACGAGACTTTTTTTGGCAGGTAGCTGATGTAATAAGGAGTAACTTACTACTTTTATTATAGAAAAATAAAATAATATTCCACGCGAGCGAAGTCGCGGGATCAACTAGTACATAATAAATATAAACATAAAATATTATAATGTTACAATAGTGGACCGGAAATGGTTAAGACACACTCCGTTATTGTGTTACAATATTTAACTACTTATAACTTATAGATTGTCATTATCAAAATTGTAAAAATCGACGCGTAATAATTAACACTTCAAAATTGACGCAATATTGTAATGTCGTTTATTAATATTGTAAATTGTAAATCACAGCATTACATTGTACTTACATAATGTGTACACAGAGGTTAGTCGTAAAGGGCACCTATAGATCATACGGATATCCGGTGAATTTATCGAATAATTAATCAACATTCGTGGAAAAGTTTTATTTAAAAACTTTTTGATTTTTATTTTTTATACCGTTGGCAACACTAGCCAATTTTGTATGTTGGTACTTCTGTTCTATTCAATTCAAAATATCTTTATTCATGTAGGTCTATTACAGACTCTTATGATATGTCAAATCTACCGTCAGTTCGGAATGATTTCAAGATGAGAAGAACTGACAAGAAACTCAGCTCGTATTCTTTTCAAATAATGTTGTCAAGTTTACAATTTGCTTTTGACAAATTGCAATATCATATGCTGGTGGTCACTCTATTCTCCCAAATTTGAATTTAAAAATGAATCTTTATTATTGTAAACATGTACAACGTTTATTTTATTTGAAAAGAATACGAGCTGAGTTTCTTGTCAGTTCTCATCTCGAAATCATTCCGAACTGACGGTAGATTTGACATATCATAAGAGTCTGTAACAGACCTACATGAATAAAGATATTTTGATATGATTATACGTGGCTTTACGACTTACCCTGCCTATTAACCGACTTGACGGACGGAGTTGTCAACAATTTTTAACATGTTTTTTTATACCGCACAATTCTCTATATACCTCACTATACAGAGTAGTCTAAATAGAGAAGAGAAGCGAGCAGAAGAAAAAAGATATATGTTCTACAACTAGTGCTTGAGATATTCTACGCGTGTACATATACACGATATATTATCCGTCATACTCGTGAACGAGTGCTGCTTATAGGGACTAGTCTGCTCTTATCACTACGACTGATTTAATCTTATTGTGTTTTTATATTTGAGCCTAAATAAATTAGTGCTGGTTGGTAGTTTGTATTCACACGTTTCGACTTGTAAAATGTGAACTTACAAGGATTGTTTAAAAGAGCAACACGCAAGTTTCTTGCTCGTTCTTCTTGTGATGAGACAGCTTTCCGAATGAGCGGTAGATAACTATGACTATTCAAAAGCGCTTAAATTAAGTTTATTTGAATTAATAATTTCTATGACGTGTCGGTGGTCTAGCTATTTAGCACACCGCTTTACTTGTGGTGGTCACGGATTCGATTCCTCGCACGGTGCAAACTTTTATATTCATGAGTATGATTGTTTGTATCGGTCTGGATGTTTTCTATGTATAATATGTATGTATTTACAAAATAAAAATGTCTATGTCTATCTATCTATGTATATCAGTTGTCTAGTACCCATAACATAAGCTCTGCTTAGATTGAGACTAGATGACGCTAAGTATAAATTGTAAGTACGTACATATTATACATAGAAAATATCCAAACAGATACAAACAATCATACTCATGATCATAATAATAATAATAGCGGTAGATAAAAAACAAATTGTTATGACTATTCAAAAGTAATTAAATTAAGTTTATTTGAATAAATGATTTTCTATTCTATTCTATTCTAATAATCTCAGGACAATTCACACAGCGCCATCTAGACCCAAGTTAAGATAGCTAAAGCTTGTGTTATGGGCAGTAGATATTTTTTCGTAAATACACACATTTTATACATAGAAATAATATTATTATATTTTGTAAATATATACTTACATAAAAAACACCTAGACCGATACAAACAATCACACTCAAGAGTTCGTGTGTGAGGAATCGAACCCGCGACCATCGGATGTAAAGCGATGGCTAAACCGCTAGACCACCAGAGCCTCATGTAGATATAAAAGATGAACTAAGCTGATATCCTACGTTTGTGCGGGAACACCTCGTGTAGTATGGTGTAGCAATCCTCCCAGGGTACAACCTTCGCCTTCACCTGGGGGCTGGTGGTGGCCAGGGTCTGCTTTGTGAGATCATCCAATGGGTACCCGCTGCGGGGAAACACTATCGCCTGGGGACAGACACATAATTAAAAAAAATATAGAAACAATCTATGTACATTCAAATAAACTTAAGATAAGTTTGAGGGGGGGGGTTTGTTAGTACTATGGTTTGACGACCTCGGTGGTCTAGTGGTTTAGCACACCGCTTTATATCCGATGGTCGCGGGTTCGATTCCTCGCACGGTGCAAACATTTGTACTCATGAGTATGATTAACGCACGTTTATATATGTCGTCGATTAAATAGAAAAATGACATTTTTAATTAAAAAAAAAATTAGCAGCTAGAATTGGCTCCTTTTATATATATATATATATAATAATGAGTTTGCGCTTCATATACGCACTACTGCTACCTTTTATATATAAGTCAATTAAATTAACCGCGCCGTCTTAATCATTATCTAAATACTTATAAAATTATATACAATACATGAGTATCATGAATACAAATGTTTGTGCCGCGCGAGGAATCGAACCCGCGACCATCGGTCGTAGAGCGGTGTGCTAGACCACCGAGGTCGTCTATAAATATAAGGTTATTTATATAAATAAATAAGACAAAAATGTACATTTTGAAAACTGCCATTGTTCCCGTCCACTCACAAAAGCACAAACTGAGAAGTCACAAAAGAGAACTGGCGAGCAGCACCGTGTGTATATTTACACGAACCATTTGGAGCCACTTTTGACCCCCTCATAACTCAAAAACTCTTATATATTAATATTACACTTTATATATATAAAGCCTATTACTCACTAAACGATATATGACGAGCGTGTATGGCACTAGTTGTTCATGCACGGGATTTTCATTTAATATTAGACATATACTTACACCTATATAAATACCTATGCATTGTAAATAAACTGGATTAAAAAAAAAAAGTAATTCAATTGAGTTTCTTGCCAGTTCTTCTCAATTGGATCTATATACCGAACTGGACGGTATAAAATTATAATGTAAAAATTTGACGTTCATAAGCGGCTAAAATGTCCTACATGAATAAATGATTTTTGAATTTGAATACTTACGTGGGCAGGTAGGTTGGTGGCCGGACAGTAATCGTTTCTACCGTCACCAGCATATGTAACTCGCGTGTACGGCGGACGCTGGGCGAGCCACTGCGCAAGCGCAATCGACTTGCACAAGTTGGAGGGACAGCGGGCGCAGGCAGTCTGCCTCATACACGGCTCGATGAACAGCCGGCCGTCCCGCCAGAACGCACTGTTGGTGATCACGTTCGTCACTGCATCCTGTAGGATACCACAATTGTCACACTATACTCCTCTATACTGACGACCTCGGCGGTCTAACGGTCTAGCATACCGCTTTACGACCGATGGTCGCGGGTTCGATTCCTCGCACGGCACAAACATTTGTATTCATGAGTATGATTGTTTGTATCGGTCTGGGTATTTTCTATGTATAATATGTATGTATTTACGAAAAAAAAAAAATTATCTATGTATTTGTATCAGTTGTCTAGGACCCATAACACAGGCTTTAGCTAGCTTAACTTGGGTCTAGATGGCGCTGTGTGAATTGTTCTGAGATTATTATTATTATTATACTGTTTTGTTATGGAAGCATTCAACTGGTAAATTAACGAACCAAGTGAAAGAGCGAGAGCATGATTCTGTCATCGAATTGACAATGACATGAAATTTTCCGATCATTTCATATCAATTTTCACTCGTCACAAATATTTCAATATTGATTTGAGAAAATAATACTGAAGACAATGGCTGTATGGGCTGAGTCCTTTTGCCTTTCTCTAAAAAGGGCAAACTGAAACAAAAAAAAAAAAATTGATTTGAGGTTGTTATCATTTTTTTTCGCATATTCGTCCGATTATGTTATGAATAAAATGATTATGCGTTCCATAAGTCCTTCAGCGGCTTTAAAGTGCCATTTCTACTCGCCCCCTATAGTTCGGTGAAGCTTTCAAGGCTAGCTACGACCAAACACATTAGAATTGTTCGAAAAAATAAAAAACTACTTCTTATTCCAGGTAACTCGAGTCAACACGAGTTACCTGAATTTTAACTCGAGTCATGTTTATTACTAATTAACACATCTGTAGTCTGTGTTGTAAAATGGCGCGTGGCGATATACGCTTCTGTAATGCACAGAGTACGTTATAGACATATACCACGAATGTTACAGATAAATTAGACCAAAGACGCGACTACATACAGCCTTTCCGGAACGACGTCATTTGTCACGCGACGTGACGTCATGTAAAACAAAGGAAACACGCTAAACACGGCAATTAGAGCGTGCATGTTCAACAAAACTATTACACTGTAATGAGAATGTATATCATCACTACATAATATAAAACAAAGTCGCTGTCGCTGTCTGTCCCTATGCTTAAATCTTTAAAACTACGCAACGGATTTATAAGCGGTTTTTTTTAATAGATAGAGTGATTCAAGAGGAAGGTTTATATATATAATACATGCGTAATATTGTAGTGAAACACTGATCAATTTAGCGGTTTCTAATGTGCTGTCGTAAATAATCACATTTTTTGAGATTACATTGCAAACGCTGGCTGAACCCCACGAGATAAATCAAAATAATGTACTACAGTATTGTACATCTTAAAAAGGTCAATAAAAAAGTCCGTGATGGTATATGTCTATCTCTTAAGGATAACCAACAATAACCATTTTTTTATCCTTTACATTTTACGGAAGAAATGGCTTATTTACAAAGTGATTTTAAGCTATACAGCATTAATTTTTATCCAATTAATTACCTTAAATACATTGTCCATTTAATATAGATCAATATAGCCGTTTACAGCATGTAATTTAAATGAATATTTCCGAAGATATTACAGATTTAAAATGCAGGGACATAGCGGCGGTACCGGCCCGGCCGGCGGCGCTAAACAAAACATATTTTTTTTAGACAATTCACACAGCGCCATCTAGACCCAAGTTAAGCTAGCTAAAGCTTGTGTTATGGGTACTAGACAACTGATACAAATACATAGATTTTTTTTCGTAAATACATACATATTATACATAGAAAACACCCAGACCGACACAAACAATCATACTCATGAATACAAATGTTTGTGCCGCGCGAGGAATCGAACCCGCGACCATCGGACGTAAAGTAGTGTACTCAACCACCAGACCACCGAGGTCGTCAAAATGTTGTACTTTCTGATGACAAAAAAGCTAAGTAAACGTTGTTTATAAGGACATTCTGCCCCTCCGATCGATCCCCGTCCAATTCAAACGGGGATCGATATTACGACGGCCTGAGCCGAGGTTCGAACCCCTAGCGGTGCCCTCAGACTAAAGTCGTATCCGTCAGGCGGGAGTTGGCCTTCAGCCGCTCCATAAGTCTTTCCTTTGGTTTGAGTGTCATCTGCACTCGCCCCCTATCGTCCGGTGAAGCTGTAAAGGCCAGCTGCGGCCAACAGCATTAGAGTAGTCCGAAAAAAAAAATAAGGACATTCTGTAGTAGGTAGGTATATTTGGTATCAATTGCTCATCAGTATTAAATGCTACTGAAAATCAGAGTTTTGCTCGCTGAGCAAATTGTTCACTGAGTAGCTCAATCCTTTCGTATCCCTGTGGCACCTAATATATATCTTAATGTTTATTTTATGTGGAAGTTAAAGTATTATGTGTTGTATTTTTTTTTTTTATAATTATTTACTATTCTTATGTGTTATTTGAATTTTGTTTGTACTATCTTTGTTATCGGGATACGAATAAAGATTTTTATCTATCTATCTATCTATCTATTACACCCGTGCGAAGTCGGGGCGGGTCGGTAGTTAATTTATATGACAAAAAGTCTGTCAGTTTATCACACATCTATATTTATTAGGTTCGAATTAAATTGGGAGGCTTCACAGAGAGCCTGTAATTGAATTACCACTCAAGGTTTTTCTACAAAGGGGCCGTTCAAGTATTACGTAAGCACTATAGGGGGGCGGGGGGTCTTTTCTTTGCTTATTTTGGATGACATGGGGGTGGGGGAGTCTGTATGATGATTACGTCATCGGTCGTAATTTACTTTTTTACACGAATGGCAACCCTCACATTGTCTTTGTTAAAAAAACAATACATTAATTGAGAAATGTTTACGTAAGCATGGGGGGAGGGGTAAGAGCTTTGCTTACTTTTGCTGACAACGGGGGATGAGGGGTAAATAATTGTGATAAATCTGCTTACGTAATACTTGAACAGCCCCAAACATATGAACCGAGTTTTTTGTATATACATATGACGCACTCGGTGGTCTAGTGGTTTGGCACACCGCTTTACTTCTGACGGTCACAGGTTCGATTCGTCGCACGATACAAACAATTGCATTCATGAGTATGATTGTGCATTCATGAGTGTGATTGTTTGTATCTGAGTGTTTTCTATATATATTAATTACTAGCTGTACCCGTGATTTCGTCCGCGTGGAATTAAAAAAAAATTAATTAGTTAATTTTTCTAATTCATAGTACCTTAAGTTACTCCATATTACATCAGCTACCTGCCAATAAAAGTCCCGTCAAAATCGGTTCACGCATTTCAGAGATTAGCCGGAACAAACAGACAAACATACAGACAAAAATTGTAAAAAATGTTATTTAGGTATATGTACCGCATTTATATTCATATGCATGTAGTAAAAAACGGTTATCTCAATATTACAAACAGACGCTCCAATTTTATTTATATGTATATACGTAATCATTATCTAAACACCCCTAGCTCCCCTAACCCCCCCCCCCCCCCCCAATAGTGCTTACGTAATACTTGAACAGCCCCTATGGCATAAAACATGCTATTAAAAAACTTACCTGAAGCCCATGAACTTTGAGCCAATGGTTCACGAAAACTGAGTTCGCATCAGTCAGCAACAGGACATCCCAACCCTCAGCCGCCAGGGTCGTGATGAGCTCCTCCACACCGGGAGTGGGGCGCATGGATCCGATGCAGTCGAGGATCTCGCCCTGCTGCAGACCAGCTGAGTACGCATGCTCGAAGACCTGGAAATCAGGACAATACTAATTTTTGACAAATTACCGGAAATAATAAAAGAATAAAAATATTTCATTAAAAAAAAAAAAAATTGACTATCATGAACGTCTGTTATAAATGCGGATATGAAATTATTTGAAGAATTCGTTAACGATAATAATGATTATCCGTTGACAATATTATCTGATTACATTAATAATTTCGGTTACTCTTAGTTGTTATATTATTATTATATTCTATTCAAAAGAGCAACACATTGATGAGTCTGCGTTCAAAAGTTAAATACAAATAGACTAATAAAATGGTTACGTTTATTTGAATAAAGTCTCAATTAGACTTTCGTCTGACAGACTAAAATATGGAAAGAGTCACATACGAATTTGAATTTTGAATTTGATATTATCCGAAACTATTATACATATTGTTCAAGTAAACAAACAGAACCTTTGGACGTAAAACGACAGCGTTTGTTTGTGTAGTGTAATTTATTTATTCAAATACAAATTCAAAATCATTTATTCATGTAGGCCATTTTAGCCGCTTATCAACGTCAAGTTTTTACATTATAATTTTTTTTTAATAACTAGTGGTCGCCAATCGCCGAAATTTGACCGTTAATAATTTAAAGTATAAGTTTGTTGTATTGACATTAGACTATAGACAAATAATATCAAAGACAAACAATATTAATCTATTCTTATTTTAAGCACAAGATATATTTAGAAAATCGAATTTAAATCTAACACATTAAAGTCGATTTTAAAATATAAAGTCAAGAAAGTAGTATGGAGAACAATAGTTTTCCCTGCCTATTACATAAAAAAATATATCTAAAAGATATATTTAGAAAATCGAATTTAAATCTAACACATTAAAGTCGATTTTAAAATATAAAGTCAAGAAAGTAGTATAGAGAAATATTGTTTGCCATGCCTATTACATAAAAAAAATCTAAGATATATATTTAGGAAATCGACTTTAAATCTAACACGGTAAAGTCCTTTTTAAAATATAAAGCCAAAAAAGTAGTTAGGAGAACAATAGTTTCCCATACCTATTACATAAAAAGAGATATATTTATGAAATCGACTTTAATTCTAACACATTAAAGTCGATTTTAAAATACATATAAAGCCAAGAACCTACTACATAAAAAAATCTAAGAGATATATTTAGGAAATCGACTTTAATTCTAACAAGTTAAAGTCGTTTTTAGAATATCAAGACAAAAAAGTAGTAGCAAATTCCATACATTTGTTTTTATGTAACTTACAGCCATTTCAACAACGAATCCATCACTGTCTTATGTACTTAGTAAGTATATAAGATTAACGAAATAATATAAAAACTATAAATTCGTTAACAGGAAGAGATAAATCTATTTCAGTAGATAAACTAAGCGAGGTTTTGCGAAAGATTATCTGTTTTAACACGTACGATATTGATACACTCTTACGAGCGAATCATTTCACGGCGGAAAGAGTGCTTCCAAAGTCAGAATAAAGCGCGGGCGACGTCAGCTCGCGCGTTCCTCGTTCTCCTACGTACGTTTTCGCGCCTTTTTTATAATACAAATAAAAATAAAAAAATGGCGCGAAATGGCGGACATTTTGTAGTAATGAATCTGACTTAAGAGCAAAGACATAATTATAAAGTGATTGATCCTTAATATTATAAATGCGAAAGTAACTGTGTCTGTCTGTGTGTCTCGCTTTCACGCTAAAACTACTGAACCGATTTAAATGAAATTTGGTAGACAGATAGTCTAGACCCTGAGACATAGGCTATTTTTTAATGCGAATAAATGGTTATAAGGGGTTGAAAAAGGAAATGAAGGGTTTTATGGAAGTATCGTCATTTTTAAAACTAGAATCGTGAAACTTATTTTTATTTTTAGGCTGTTCATTAAATATAAATAAATATGACTAAGTTTGTACAATTGTTACCCTTAAGGTGGTAAAAAATAGGGGATGAAAGTTTGTACAGAAAATTGTCTTTTTTGAAACTATAACGAGGAATCTTTTTTCATTAAATTTATTGGGTTAATTTTTTCTATATTTGGTCAAGGTCACTATAACGATGAATGTCACGAGCACAGCTGGTAATTTATAAATGTTAAACGTGTCTTTGAAAAATGACATCTGTGGAATATAAAAAAATAAACTAAGTATAGTAAAAAGGCCGACTCTGCTGTACCTATGCAGAGTCGGGAGTTGTCCTTCAGCTATTCCATAAGTCCTTCCTTTGGTTTAGAGTGCCATCTGCACTCGCCCCCTATCGTTCGATGAAGCTGTAAAGACCAGCTGTGGCCAACATTAGAGTAGTTCGAAAAAAAAACATGCTGAAGACACAAAAATGGAACATGTACTTTTTAAAAAATTAAAAAGTAAGACGCCAAAGTACCCATATCATTCAGCCCGTAATTTGCATAGTGGTGTATAAATACCTAAATATATTATTGGTAAATTAGTGATTATGCTTCATAATAAGTAGGTTCGCGTAAAATTATGGTCAAACAGTTAAATTTTTCAACACAAGAAAAACAAAGAAAAATTGTGAGTTTCAACAAGTTTCTTGCTCATTCTTCTTGTGATGAGTCCGCATTCCGAATGAGCGGTAGAGTAAAAAAATGTGACTATTCAAAAGCGCTTATATTAAGTTTATTTGAATAATGTTTATTTCTATTTCTTGTGAAAAACTTGAAGAAACTTTGAAATGAAACGAATTTTCTAGAATATGTATATTTTTTTAAAATTAACTATACGACTTTGGATTCCATTTTTACTGAAGCAAATAATCACTACGTTTATTTACATGTTATTTTTGTAATTAAAATAATATTTCTCTAGTAAACATCTAGTGGTCTAGCGCTAGACCTAAAAGTCTAGTGTTTTAACACACCGCCTTACTTCCGATGGTCGCGGGTTCGATTCTTCGCACGGCACAAAAAATTGATTGCGATTGGGTACGATTGTTTGTATCGGTCTGGGTATTTTATATGTATAATATGTATGTACTTACGAAAAAAAATATCTATATATTTGTATCAGTTATCTAGTACCCATAACACAAGCTTTAGCTAGCTTAACTTGCGTTTAGATGGCGCTGTGAAAATTGTCCTTGTATTATTGTTTTTAATCGTCCTACCAAAGACAATAATGAATATAGACTGATTTATCACACAAACCGCCGGCGCCAAAACAAGAAAAAAAAACGATGCCATCATTTCTCGATTGGCACACTATATAGTGTAGATTTAATAAGATTTATATAGATTCCAATACAGTAATTTCACACTATAGTTATTTTTATTCACGTTTCTAATTTACAAGCGGCAAACACTTCCAACAAACGTAATTTGAAGAAGGACTACTGGCCGAAGGGTGTGGTATATCGGTGCTACCGTGGCAGATTGCCGTCGTCAATGGAATGACCACACAGACAATTAATATTTATACTAGCTACCCAACCCAGCTTCGCACAGGTGTACATGTATTATACATATAAACTTTCCTCTTGAATCACTCTATCTATTAAAAATAACCGCTTCAAATCTGTTGCGTTGTTTTAAAGATTTAAGCATACCTACATAGGGACGGACAGCGACAGCGATTTTGTTTTATACTATATAATTATTACTATTATATATGTATGTTCGTTTAAAAGGAATTTATAATAATATGCAATATGCAAAATGGGCAACAATGGCTGTATGGGCTGAGTCCTTTTGCCTTTCCCTATGAAGGGAAAAACCGAACCAAAAAAAAAAACAGAAATGATACCAAAGACAACGGCTGTATGGGCTTAGACTATTTGCCGAATAAAACAAAAAATAGACTCTTTGCCTTTCCATTAAGGATAAATAAAACAAAAAAAAGTCTTTTTTTTTTTAAATAAACTATACGGTCTAAGGATCTTTGCCTGTTCCATCACTGAAAAGGAGATGGACGAATATGGAAAAAAAAATACTTTATGATACGTTAAAATAACAATAACATGAGATATAAAAAAAATTGAGAAAAAAAACTTCTTTTGTATTGAAAATAAGCATGTAATAAAAAACGGTTATTTCAATATTACAAACATAAACTCCATTTTTATTTATATACTAGTTGTCCCGGCAAACGTTGTTTTGTCTTAAAATAAAAATAAAAAATTAGGGGTGGACTACCCCTAACATTTAGGGGGATGAAAAAATAGATATTGGCCGATTCTCAGACCTACTCAATACGCTCACAAAATTTCATGAGAATCGGTCAAGCCGTTTCGGAGGAGTATGGGAACGAAAACTCTGACACGAGAATTGTAACGAGAAAAGATTGTGACACGAGAATACCAGAGTCTGTTATAAATCTGCCTGAAAAAAGATTTAAATGTCAAATCAAACAGTTCCCTTGCAAAAAAGCTTACTATAAAATTGAAGAATTCGTTAACGATAATAATGTTTTTATAGAAAAACTTTAAATCCATAACACTGACAATATTATCTGATTACATTAATAATGAGTGCGTAGCGACTTCTATGTTGATTATCGCATGCCTCTTACTTGTTATACTGTAATTATTTATATAAAAAAAACATCTATTAAAAAGCGCAACACACAAGTTTCTCGCTCATTCTTCTTGTGATGAATCTGCATTCCGAATGAGTGGTAGAATCGAAATATGACTATTCAAAAGTGCTTGTAATGAGTTTATTTGAATAAAGATTATTTCTATTTCTATTTCTATGTATCGGTCTGGGTGTTTTCTTTGTATATTATGTATGTATTTGTAAAAATATCTATGTATTTAATATGACTTGTCTAGTAGCCATACCATAAGCTCTATTTAGCATAGGACTAGATGGCGCTGTGTGAAATATCCGGTTTTATTATTATCTAATATACAAAATTCTCATGTCCCAATATTTGTAAACAAAATACCGATTCTTGTGATAAATCTGCATTCCGAATGAGTGGTAAAATCAAAATATGACTATTCAAAAGTGCTTGTAATGAGTTTATTT